CAGCTGCCGTCTCCTCTATGGCCTGTGCTGCGCCACGCTCCACCTCCTGCGCGCGCTGCCCCGCCTCGTCCAGGAGGCGCTCTACGTCGTCGGGTCGGCCTATGATCTGTGGTGGTGGCTGCGGCTGCGGCCCTGGGCGGGGCAATACATTTAGGCGGACGTACTCAGCAGCGTCCTGGGGGAGCTGGGAGCGGAAGGCCTGCACCGCCGCGAGCCAGGTTCCACGAGCGTTCCACCAGGGTTCCACCAGGGTCCAATGAGGGTTCCATCAGGGTTCCACGAGGTTCTGCGAGGGGTGCGCGCACTAAAAAGAGTGTTGAGGATGTCACCTGAGCTTAGTTTTGTAGGTAGAGCGACTGTTTTGAATTTGTTCACCGTTTATTTTGGGCAGCTGGATTGTTTTCAGGGCCTGGCACTGGCCTACTTGTCTGGCTGATGATTCTCGTGAAGTGGGAGTTTTTAGCAGAGCTTCTAATTAGTTTTTTGTGTGGGGTTGCCGCCTCTGTTTTTTCGTAGCTGGATTTTGTCAGGGCCTGTCACTGGCCTACTTGTCGGGCTGATGATTTTCGTGAAGTTGGTTTTTTAATGTAAAGATTCTATTTTGTTCGCCGTGTGTTTTGTGCAGCTGGATTTATTCAAATCCTTGCACTGGCCTACTGGTCTGGCTGATGATTCTCGTGAAGTGGGCTTTTTAACTAGGGCTTCTAATTTGATTGTTGTGTGTGGGTGCAAATTTGTTGTACAGTTTTCCTGGGCCTGTCACTGGCTTGCATGGTCGGGCTGCATTTTTTTGTGATTTGGGCGTTCTGCAACAGAGTTTCTAATTTGTGTTTTGTCAGTGGCTGCCTTTTTTCGCGGCTAAAGCCATTGTTGCGTCAGGGGTCACTTGTTCTTACGCCCGGCGGGCTTAAGAACAAGTAGGCACTTTAGCGAACAAGTGACCAGGTCACTTGTTCCGGTTGGCCCCCACTTGTTCTTATGCCCGCCGGGCGTAAGAACAAGTGACCCCTGAAAACGCTTGGGGCTGGGAACTAGCCAAGGCTTTTCCAGGACTCGTGGGAGCGGCGCAGTGGCAGCGTCTGATACCGTCTGATACCTACACCAAGCAGCGTATTCGCTTTGTCGAATTGCTAATTCGTCGCACGGACACCTGTCGCCTTCATCTACGGAGTGCGTCACCGGCATCGCCAGCATTACCAGCAAAGTCTAGCTGATTTTTTCTCTGACGAACTAGCTAATTCGTCGCGCGGACACCCGTCGCCTCGATCTACGAAGTTCATCACCGGCATCGCCAGCATCACCATCATTATCAGCAATAAAGTCTAGCTGAGATTCGCTCTGGCGAAGTAAAGCTAATTCGCATTACCAGCAATGAAGTCTAGCTGAATTTCGCTCTGACGAATTAGCAAATTCGTCGCACGGACACCCGTCGCCTTGATCTACGGAGTGCATCACCGGCATCGCCAGCATCACCAGCATTACCAGCATGAAGTCCAGATCATAGTCGCTCTGTCGAATTAGCAAATTTGTCGCGCGGACTCGATCCACACACTGGCATCAACAGCATCGCGAATCGCTAAGGCGCGCTGATTGCTATCTGTTTGCTCTGCTCAAAATATTTAAAGGCACCCCTGCCCCGGTTCGATGTTCTCACACCTCTGTGATCCCGACAGCAACGAATCCGACACTCGTCGCACTTCCATTTCAGCTAGTTCCTCGCGATGCCGGCGGCCTTCTTTGCAACGAATGTATCTAAATCGCAGCCCGGCCCCGCTTCCAATGATGTGGGAAACGCTGGGACTGCTGGGCGGCACAGTCCCTTGATCAATCAGCTAGCTCTCTCCCACACAGGCTTTCACATCAGCACTCCTTTGCTGGAATTTTCGAAAGCCTGCGGCTATCGGCCTGACGTAGCAACGCATTGCTCCGATTGCTCTGGGTAAACCAGCTTGTTTGCCAGGATTTTGCATGCTTAAGGAGGGCTCCATGCATCTCAGAACCCACGATCGCCACGGGGTGGTGTGGATCGACTTGAACCTTGGCCGGAGCAGGAAGTCATCACAGGGGCCCAGCTGAGCGCCCTTCAGCATGGCGCTGCGACGATGCGCTTGCTTGAGCTAGGAAACTAAACACCACTACTCTTTCGAACGAATGCTTCCTAGGGCTCATATCCGGCAGTGCATTGATTCAGCGTCACTTGAAAGCAGTGAAAACACGTACTTTGTCTTCAGGGCGGCCCTACTCAAAGAAAAATGAAGCAAGCCCTATACGAGCGGCGGTCGTAAACCACTTAGCAAGTAGATAGGGTCCGCGTCTGTACTGCTGACTTCTTGGCACTTACTTCTCAAAGAAGAGACCGAGGTGAGCGACACGATGCCCCAGAAGACGGTGGCGTCAGCAAGACTGACAAGCTTCCAAACAAGGCGCGCGGTGCTTCCCCCGAAGCAATCCCTGTGTTGACTTCGAAGCGAGCTGGAAGTTTGACCCCATCACACTTTCAAATCTTGGGCCCTCTCGGAGGCGCGTGCTTTTACACGTGTACAATGCAGGAGCTAGAGCTGTTGAACGCCGGTGGGGGGGGGGGCCCTAATTGGAGAGACAATTGTAGTGGGCGTTGAAGTAGGCCAGGGCCAGCCACTTGAAGCAACCTTGACAAAGTTGGCGGATATGTCCCTGGGCTTTGTCCACGTGGTCCGCGCAAAGATCAGCGCCTGTTGAGCACAAGATGGAGCAAGTGACAGCCCTTGACAAGCTTGCTCAGCTACATGCCCACTTCAACACTCCGTACGAGTTCTAGGACATGTTTTTGGCAAAGCCCGTTCTCGGGCTGCTGCCGGAATGCGTGCTGCGGATTGCTGGCACATGGGCCTCTAGAATCGCGCAACACCTAATTTGAAAGCATTCCAACACTGAGCCGCAAACTCGCGGACCTTTCCACGTCCATTTGCAGCCATTTGCTTCTGCGCCTACCTTCCATAAGGCTGTGACTGTATATCGCTTTCTTAGGTTCTCAGCCTTGGCAAAGCGCTTAAAACTCTTGGGGCGGCAAACGTGGAAAATGCATTACATACATCCCCCCCCCCACTGGGCATACATTATGAAAGGGGTCCCCCGTTGACATGTATCTTGGTGGGGGTTCTGGCTGCTTATTAGCATGGCAACGCAACCCAAGCGCAAGCATGGGCGCACGCGCTTTTGCGTCCGGAGCTTTTTGGCTTTGCCAACGCGACACATGCTCGCGAGCAAAAACTGTGGCTCGCAGCTACCAGTACGCATGAACATTCATGTCAAAGTTGCCGCGGCTCTTCCAATGGTTCATGACTCATGACGCTTTGCCTTCCTTCAGTGATATGAGCAGGTTAAATTTGCGAAGGGGAAGATTCTCGCCAATACACATCCCTGTCAATGAGGGACACTAAGTCCAGCTCACGCAGGGTCACTCAAGATCGGGCAAGCCAAAATAAGTTACAACTAATTTACCTCACTATTTACCATATTATTTACGGACTCTTCCTATTAAGGGCCAGGCCAACCAGAAAGCTTGATTTATTTACGTGATTGCTTACGCTTTTATTTTCGGGTACGGCGAAAACGACAGACACCCCTATTTATAGAGGCTAAGTTTTGGTTTAAGCTTAAAGTTCATGAACTCAGGAAGTGAGGCGGACAATTCAACCAGCAACTATGAGCCGCTACTTCGCCCCCAGGCGCAAGCCACTGCAAAAGGGGGCCACCTTTTGCCGTGGACTCTAGGGCTGCAGAAGCAGCTACGGTCAAACCTCCCATGGCCGCGGCCGACTTACTCGCTTCCTTAGTGGATTGGCCAAGAAAGTCCCAAGTTTTTGAATACCAGGATGCCCTCTCCAAACAGTACAAAGTCCAGGAACTCAGGGAGTGTGCTTAAGACATCTTGCAATGGCCATCTAACATTTGAAAGGGGTTGGTGACCCTTCCTAGTTCTCCAAACAGGGGAGTCTTCGCCATGGCATGCATGTCGCCTCTCAAACTCGACCCCTCGAAGGGGGAAGACAACCCAAATGGAATATGTGATTATCAAACCACAGAGCAGGACTAGAAGGACCGTCCCTTGTCCAAAAAATGAGAAAGGGAGACGGCGCCCGGCCCGGACTCCAAAAAAAGGAAAAGTGCATGATTTGCTGGTGGTGGTCGCCCCCTTTAAGTGGTTAGCCTCCGCAGGAACAACTGTTTGTGTCCCAAGCCCCTTCTTAACTTCCCACATCCCCGGAGCACACCCAAAATATGATCTTCAGTTCAGCCCGCCCAATTCAAAATACTCCCCAAAACGCTCGGTTGGGTCGCAAGCCGCGATACTCAAAGCCCCATAAGAGCTGGTTCTCAGCAGGGAACGAGGGAATGACTCCGAACAAATCCATCTCCTATGGCTTCCTTTCAGGGCCCAACACCCGGAGGCAAGTGGGAACTCAATGTCGGAATGGAAAGAGCAAGTACACTCCAAAACTCGCCAAAAAGGGTTTAAGCGAGGTGCTTGGTAGCATGCATCATTGACAAACCCTGGGACTAAGCCCTCAACCAAAAACAAACAAAAACAACAAGGCGCGGGCGACGCCAAAAGGCTTGGGCTTGGACCACAGGGCGCCTTAGCAAATCTCAATCGTTGGAAGTACCTTTGACCTCCATGGTGCCAAGGGTAGCTAGCATTGGTCTTGGGGGAGTGACCTGCAACGCAAGAGGGTGCCTCTCCTTGAGGAATGGGACGTTCAACCAAGATAAGGCTTTCCTGCAACGGAGTGTCCGTTGCTCTTAGGTAGTCGTCAGGTTTTTTCGTGGTCCTTTGATTTGGGGGACCTTACATGAGTTCTAACAAATATAAGTTCTAGGATGCGCGCGCATGATTCACAAGTCCCTTTGGCGCAAACTGGAGCCCGTATATGAGACCCTGTCGAACGGGCCTTCCTAGTAAGACAAGCTGAGCTGAGAAGTGTCAGCTCCTGCTATGGGCCCCGCGCTAGGCGCTGCCGCTAGGGGCTTTGCAGTTCGCGCACCCGCGGCTGCAAGCTGGCGTTCCACAGAAGGTGCCGGGGTTCTAGGGATGACTTCCTCATTTCCAGGGATCCGCAACAACAACCTTCATCTTTTTGCCGGGGCATCTCCTGACTTGACCCTGCAGCAGCAACCGACCTTCAAAACACTGAGCTTGTTTTCCCCAGTGAGCTCGCCATCAAAAAGGCGACATGCGCAAAGGAGCTGACCATCGTCCCAGGGCTCAAAGGCTCGGATTTGGAGTAAGTGGTAAATCTTTCATGACCAGGTTCCTAAGTAAGTTAATCAAGCTGATAAGCAAAAATGGAAGTCTTAGTCATAGCCTGCAAGGTAAACCTTGCATGGCACCTAGCAGAACGAACGACACCTTTGGCTAATTTCGATCATATATATATATATATATATATATCATGGCACTGAAAGATACTAAAAGAACATTTTGCCAGTCATGACATGAAGATTGGAAGCTACAAATTGAGACCCCGTCGGTTTTGGGCACCAAGCACTTGCCATACAGCTGCTATAAGGGGCTAACTTCGAATGGGGTTGTGGCGGGTACTTGAACCAGCTCCCGGTCATCGTGAACGCAATGACAGTCATGATCGTGAAAGAACAACGACCGTAATCTCTCCTTGGGGACATCGCGCGGAACTCCATCTCCGGGCCGATGAAGCTGTGATCACGGTCTGCTAGGATCCTAAGTTCACGCGTCTGGGCAAAGGAAGGAGGGCTTTCTTTGTGTGGATTGATATGTGGTTTGCCTTGACGAAAGCCGGGGGAATCCAAGAAAAAGAAGAACAGTTCTTCTGATTCTCTTGGATTCAAAGGCCTAACCAATAGTTAGGAGACCCCAGTTGCTGTGAGAGGAGACCCGCCAAACAGAAGGAGAAAACAACCCGCTGGGTCCAAGAAAAGTTCTCCCTTCCTATCTCCCTTCAACAAAAGTCATCAAAAGTCAAAACGCCCTTGATGGTGAGCGAAGGGCTGGTCTAAAAACAGAATAAGACCAGTGAAAAATCAAGAGCCTGCCACAAATTTGCTAAAAAGGGAGTCGAACCATAACCAATTCGCCTTCACTTGCTGAACGTACAGTCTTGCCCGCAATGGTGAAATGGGAGACCTCAAATTGGGGAAGCCTTTGTTGCCGCCTCTCAGGGCAGAAACCAACAGGACCAGAAAGGAAGCCTTTGGGGGTCCGGGGGTCCAATTGTCGCTGAATCCGTCCTGGACGTTTTGGCAGTCAACTTAAACAATGAAAAGAAGAGAACCAGGTTGAGTATGACTCCTTCAATCTAGGGGGTCAGTGTGTTGGAGATCTGGGAGAATTTCTTCAAGGCGGATGGGAGCCTGCCAGCCTCAAGTCCGAGTCTCATGCTCAGGCCCTGCACACTGCCCGCCAGCGGCCGAAGCTCAGTGCAACCTCGGGCCCAGTCACAAGAAAAAACCTATGTGGCGCAAGGAATTCAGGATGGGTTTTGCAGAGGGCTTAACCTTCTTGAAGCCGTCGGGGGATGTCCGGGGGGGTTGTGGGTTGAGATGTGGGGCTTGGGCGAGATAAGGCAGATTGAAAAGGTCGGATTTGCAGGAGGATGGGGACGGAGCTGATTGATATACCCCTTGATTATGGGAGGGTGGTAGTGGGAATCTGTATCAGCTTGCGGCAAGTTAGCCTCGGTCGACCTTTGCAATTCGCATTGCTTTGGCTTTCGGCTTCGCCGTTCCTTCCATCTATGTGGCTTGAAGCCAAACACCCACCCCACAGGCAAAGTTCCCAGAAACTCCGAGAACCTTCCTGGACCGAATTTGCAAAACCGTTTCTGGGTTCACAAAAGGGTCCTGTCTCTTCCGAGGCGCAGTCGCGCGAAACCGCCGCACCGCCGCTGCGCTGCATCTTGCGGTGGCCCAGCGCCAGCGCGAGGATGAGGGAACAGCACAGGCTGCCACAACCGCAGCCTGGCTGCCACCATACTCCCCGTCCCAGAATAAATAACATAAAAAAAAAATGGGGGTGGAGGTGGGGGGACCCCGACATTTGCAACTTATTTCTTTCTTCGCGGGGTCCGCAGTCAGCAGTGACCAAACTCACTTTTGGACGGGGGCCCGCGAGGTGGCATCCACAGATCTCTACAAATTAAATGGCGCTTAAAGGAAAACCGCTGGGCTAGCAAAAAGGTTCAATGATTCGGCGGGACATTTTGGCTATGGCATAATTTGGTAATTTCAAAGATGCCATCAATATGAACCCCCCCTATAGTTTTGAGAAGCCCTAAAATCGTCTTTACAAGGGGCCTGAGAGGATTCTGCTTATGTTGAGACTTGCTCACAGGTGAAACGAGGTCACCCATGAACGGCCTTTACCTGAGGGGCTCCTTATTTGCAGTTGGTGTGCCATTCAGGCTGCAACCTCTACAACGGTTCCAACATAAGAATTGGAGTCCAACGCCAAAAACCTACTCTCGCGCAAAAGAACGCGGAACCCCCAAGTAAAAAAACAAAAAAAATCAACTTTGTATGCTGTGTGCTCTGCTCCGGGCTTTTTCCCGCGTGGATTCCACCAACACAGGTACAAAGAAGCGACAGTTGTTAACCTAGTTCTTTTGGCAACATCTCATGGATCTGCCATTCCCCCCCCCTTCCAACAAAAAAAAAAAACAAAAACACACAAAAAACATGGATCTCCGATGGGGCCACGCCCGTTCCACAACAGAAATCCGGCCGAATTCTACGCTAACAACTATCAGTTATCTGATCCCAACCGTGGCCAGCGCGTGCCCAACGAAAGAACAGCTCAGTCCCAAATATGCGGCATGGTCAAATACATATGATGGCCAAATGCATCCATCTCTCTCTCTCTCTCTATGCATATATATAGAGATACATATATCCGCACGAGAATCCAGCATGGTTTTGGTCAGCAGGTGGCAGCTTCTGTTTGCATGGCTCCATGTTAAGACCTGCGCAAATCGGCCGAAGACAGTAAAAGTTGTTCGCGTGGCGTCTTGCGCGTGCCCTCCAATTCTCCCTGGCAAATATAGGGGGCCAGCCTGGCTCCATGGAACTTCCACGTGTAATCCCTGTTGTTTGCATGTGAAAAGGAATGTCACCCACTTTCCCTTGGGGCGGTTGTGGTTTGCGGGTAGTGGAGACCTATGGGAAGGGTCTCTGGGGAAGACCAATTTGTGAAATCCTTAACTGACTTTCCACAACACTGTATAGGTCAACTTCGGACTTATCCGGACTAATACAGTATATGCTCGTCAGGCCCCGCTTTTGAGGAGGGAAATCGTTCAACTAGAGTCGCTAAGGGTCCTTGGGTTAGCATGGTTCCCATATATCAATGATATTGGCAGGGCGAGCGGGCCGGACCGAGGCCCAGAAAAATAATGTAGAACCAAGAAGGCGTTGCTTGTTGAATTAATGCGTCAAAAACGCAGACCTTTGGCGGCCACGCGAAAAAAAAAGGCACCCTTCAGTGGGCACTTGAGTTTAAAGGGCCCCCCTCAAAAGCCGAGCAAACGCTGGAGGTCTATTAGGAGGCTCTAGGGGTTTAGCAGGGCTGCGGGAAATGCGTTTAAGCAACTAACCCCTCCGCCATTGCAAGTAAACCAAAAAGTATCTGAAACAGATATCAAACAAGCTGGTGCGCAAGGAAGGACTCACGGAGTTGGGACTGAACGGGATTTCCTTAGAGCCAAGCCATAAGCTTCTCTTGTTTTTTTCGTGGTCATTCCCTCATTCCTTGCTGAGAGCCAGCAAGAATAGCGCCAAACTGGTCAGCTGGCCCAGGCGGGGGGGGGGGGGGCAAAGCAACAACCATAAGAGGATAAGGAGGGTATGAGGGCGAATGGCGCATTTAGAGGATGACCAACCCGAGAACCAAACAAAAAACGAAATGATTGACCAAACAAAAGGAGATTTGGATGAACCCCGCAGGTCTCTCTGGGAGCCCTGGCAAGCAAAGGGCGCCAAAGTGCTCCAGCTCATCAGCCACTCCCCCGCGAAGCTGCCGGCCATGCCTGTGGCTCGGTGAAAAAATCACTGAGCGATATGGAGAGGACATGAAGCTCCACCAAATAGCTTGCTTTTTCTCCACTGCCAACATATGAAAAAATTGGTCTGCACCAAATACGTCTCTTCACTGTCATGTTTGGCCTATTAAGTGTTTGAACGAGGCTTCTTCGTTGCTCAATCCTTAGCCTTGTTTTCTCACCCTTTTGTTTCGGTCATCACGTAGAGGCTCGGAGCAACCCTTTGTGTTTCCCGATTGGGAACAACCACAGGGTAGTGCCCTCAAAGAAGGGTACGAACATAGCGAAACTTTTTTGGGGGGAGGGCAGTACTAACCGGGTTAACCCGCAGCAAGAGGCTCAGCGGAGAAAAGGAAGGTTACTTAAGGAAGCCTTCCTCAGCAAACACCCTTGCCCCCCCCAAAAAAAATGAAAAAACTCCCCACCCGTGCGAAAACTTCGGATGAAGAGCCCCTGCATTTCCAGACCAAAGGAAATCTGGGGAAGGAATGGACCCAAGTTGGGTGGCCACTCTTAACTACGGATTAATCACCCACAGGGGTTCGTCTTAAGTCTAGTTAAGAGGATCCTTCCATTAGCAGCGTCCTCAAGAGTAATCCAAAAGATTACATTTCCCCCCTCATCACCTCTCTTACTGCTCTGGGTAGACGGCTTAGAGCTGATTTTAACAGCCTAACTCGAGGTTCGAGGTCCGATTCCCACCCACAGAGGAACATGAGGTCTGTTGGAAACCTCCCGAATCTACACACAGGGATAGAAGTGTGCATTGAAGAAATCGAGAAACCAGTCAGTCTGGAATCCCTCCAGATACTTTGGAACCACTAGCTCAAAGCTGAAAAGGAGGCCACTTTCGGTAGCCTTAAGGCTGGCATATTTAACATCAGAGTGCAAGTAGATGGCACAATTCTCTTTTGAAGGGGATGATTAAACCAAAACAAGACGACCATTTTCTGCCTGGCTGGCACCCCAAGCAACAAATGCACTGTAGGGAAGCCTTTACTCGCAAACACGCTGGCGTGTGCAATGTGTCGCATCACTTTGCCTTCGGCCTGTCTCCCCTGGCCCGTGCAAGCCATCCCCGCTCCCCGCCCCACTCCCCCCCAGCCTACACCACATCCCAACATCTCCGAGAACCCCATGATCTGGCAGGCTGGGCTGGTTTCTGCCTTGTGCTTTATTATTTCAAGGGTGTTCTCTCATCCACTGATTTTTCTTTTTCGAGGCAACACTCATGATCTAAATAGCCAACTGTGTCTTTCTCCCTCGAAGTAGGGTTTTTCCTTGGTGCACCCTGGTCTGCTTGTGACCTCTGGCGAACACCGCCGGAAGGATAGACTGTATCTTTTACACAGCCAAACCGAAGTGGTAAGGCTTCATGCAAGGCCCTGCGCGACAAGGTGATGTTCAAGATGATGTTCAACCTCGGGTGTCGAGTGACCCCAAAAATGAGATGATCCCCCTTTAACATGGGCCACCAGAGGTTTATCAATCCATTCTCAATCCCAGTAACATGTACGCAACCAGTGACAATGGCAGAAGAGAGAAAGACAAAGATAATTTGGGGTTGGTCATGTTTACAGGGGAGAAAGAGAAGGACAAGACTAAGCCTTTTTGGGGTTGACCATTTTTAGAGGGGAACCCGTCCATCAAAACTGAATTTGAGGTGCCACTGAACAACTAGTAGGATGATAGGCACTCTGTAACTACTCCCCTTTCTCCAGCAGTCGGACACAAAGCCGTGTGCAAATCTCCAAACCCCTTCAGACCAGTGTCAAGGTCCCACAAAGTCAACAAATGACTAAAAATGAGCCAAAGGGGGGAAATTGAAAGGTCGAGAGGCCGATTCGCTTTTGAGATCCTGTTTGGAACTCCTTCCATGCTGCTGAAAGAAACGGCATCAAGCCTCCTTGCTCGCAAGCCGTGCCGAAAGCGGAATCCGATTCTTGGCAGAGGCTCCCTATGACTGGTGGAAACAACTTGGACCATTCGTGTCGCTAATCAGCTTCTAGCAGCAAACTTGCTTGGATCCGCCCCGAGGACAACCACAAGTAAACCAAACTGTTGCCAAGTCTAATCCTCGGAAACGAGTTTGTTTGGTTGCAATTGCCCCTGCCAAAGAGGTTCATAATGCAGGTTAGCTGCTGCTGTCTGTAACATGTGACTCCACACAATAAACCACTTCCTCCTTCACATGAGTAAACATGGTTTGGTCCACATGAGGGTTTATGCAGGGAGGACAGGGCCAGAAGCGATCCCGAGGCATTTAGGCATCGTTCCCGCGCCTGGGACGATGCCTCGGGGTCGTTCACGCCGGTCAAGCATTCCATGAGAACCACCTGCCCCACAGTTGGTTGCAAACATGGGCAGAAGGAACACCCCACACCAAGCATGACCACCAAGCATCACCAAAGCATCCCAGTTACGAAACGCCTAAGCGCTTGATCTCCGTTGACTAACCCAAGCTCGTTCAAGTGCATTGGCCAGAAAACAGGGTGGGAATCACCAGTCGCTGTTTTTTGATCATACGGTTATTGCGAATCACCCTGCTGTGATACTCAACAGGGCCATTCCTATGACTGCCCTTTCATGAACATCTGAAGGGGGGACCCCCTGGGCATTGCCCTATTAGTGGCCTTACCCCATGTCCTTACTGTGCATGGACAAAATCCATTTCGCACCACCCAAGAAACCCTGGAATGATTCGATTCCCCTGTAAATACCGACAAACGTTATGGTTTCCCTTGGTTTCAAAGTGGTGGCGACATGGATTTCGCAACCATCCACAGTATGTATGTGTAAAACTGGCTGCTTGGAATCCATCGGGCTCTAGTGGTAACGTCGAAAAATCCCTCGAGAGGTATCTTCTTTTTATGAGTCCCGGTCCAAGATACCTCGGCCAGGCCAACGAGGGGGACACCCCAAAACATACACACGATCACACGATCACACACACAGGCATGACTCTTTTTTGCTCAAGACAGCCAAAATCTACTCATTCAGGCAAGGAATTCCGGAGTTGAAGCCTGCAAATTCACGCACGAATCATGCTTTTTGGATGTCTCCACCTTTGTTACCCCTGCCCCGAACCCCCCCCACAAATAAAAATACCAAAAACAGCCCCCCCACCACAAAACGGCTGGTCCCCCCTTTGGTTTCCCTTTTGAACAACTACAACTACTACAACAAGTGGCCCCCAAAGGATGCCAATCTAAACCAAAAATCTTTCAGTCAAGTTGGGGCCGGGGTATTTTTTGGAACCCTCGCCCTGTAATCAAAGACTGAATGAAAACACCACTATGTCTGAACCCCTGGCATGGACCCATAGTTTTGGTCCGGCAATCCGGAAAACCACGTGCCATTAAAGGGACCCCGAACGGCTCCCAAGGCTCAAGAACGTGCGTCAACCTGTTTTCTCCATTCTGCTCGCCAGGCTGAATGAACTGCTGTTTGCTCCCCCTGATAGGCTCTGCATGTCCTTGACGATTTGTACAAAGGGTCTTTGGAACATTTCGAGTATTCACCCAGCCTGCCAAGCCCCTTCTGGAGTGCTTCACACGAAGTGCAACGCTTGTTTCAAGTCCTGGAAACTCCGACCCCCGGCCTGGGACGCATTGGCCATGGCAAGAAACCTCAGGCAACATGCACCCTCAGTCCGAACATCGTTCACCACGACTGGCAACCCGGGATACTTGCCTGAATTTCTGAAACCTGCACCACAGGTGAGACAGGCAAACCCTGAAAATCAGCAAACTTCCAACAGGGGTACCGGAGTGCCCTGAATTGGTGTAGATCTCTTGAACATATACGCATCCGGCGCCTGAAGGATGTTGGATTGTCTCTCAGTGGTCTAGGCATTTGCATAAGCCAAGGCTTTGCATCTCAGCCGCCGAAGAGTCTCATTCGGCGTCTAGCTAGCCTAAACAAGCAACGAAGCCAAACACCCATGCAGGACGACCCTTCAATGCCCATGAAAGGGGGCCTCATCCCCGCACAAAGGCTCACACGCCCACATCAAGCTTGTTGCACATGCTTCTCGAACAGTGCCTCGCTAGTAGCAACGCATAGCAACGCCCTGCCCTCCCGCACTTGCACAATAGAACAAGCTACACTTGCCGAAATCTGCTGACCTCGATTTCCGCCGCAAAAGTTTGAGCGATATCCCAAATGCTGACTATACATTGTTTTGGCTTGAGCAAAGGCTGCAAAGGCAAGCCTTTGGCATGCAAGCTGGCCGGGACCCCTCCCATTGCTTGGGGTGAAGCAGAATGATGCACCAACCAGAAAAACAGTCACAACAAAATGGACCCTTCATGAGTGAAGTTGCAAGTCCCGTGACAAAGTGGCCGGCACAACATGTGCAAACAACCAACCCTCTTATCACCCTTTAAACAATCAACTGGGGGTGGTTTAAACAATGGCCGTCTGGACATGTACCAGACGTTGGCCCACCTCTAAGTTTCCTCTGAGAAAAGCAACCCGCAAGGATGCGGGGGAAGCTGGACACCTGTGCACCTCCATATGGAAAACTTAGTACATTGCACCTATCCATTGGTCCTGTTGGGAAAGTTAGACTCAGGCAGCCTGGGCTTAAGCCAAGCCGCAGCCAAAGGCCCAGCAGGAAGAAGGCTGAAGGCCCAAGAAGAGCAGCCAGCCTGCTTACGAAAACGCGTGGGCTTCAAAGTATTTTCCATCCGATGGCTAAACGTAACCCATGTGAACCTCGGAAATCGAATCAACGTCTTGACTGTGGAAAACTAGCCACCCAGAGAAATCCAACATGTCCCTTTGATGATACCTTCTATAAATGTATACAACTGGCCTCGGATCGGCATGTTATACATTTACCGATCTTTGACCCCGTAGTATGGTGGAAAGAAGTGAAGGTGCGTGAAGTGAGGACAAACACTACATATTTGAGCTCACAACGCTTGCTTTGCCAAAGGGCCTGGGAATCAAACCCAAAAAACCTCGGGAGAACGCACATTGAACCAGCGCACGACTCACACAAAAGCAACAACGAACACACACACACACACAACTCAGAAACTCGCAAAGCAAGCAAGTCCAAGCCAATGATGATGATGGGTTTGTCTTGTAGATGCCTGTGTTGGAAGACCCTGTTAAGCAAAAAGCAAATCCAAAGCACGTGTGTGACCCAAAAACAAGGAAACGCAACGTAAGATGCCCTCAAAATCCAACGAAGCAGTTGGAACAGGGCAGGTTGGCTGCAGCGCAGTCCCCTCTCAACCTCCTCTCCCCCGCAAATCCTTGGCAGGTGGAGTCTTAATGCCCACACACCGCGCCCCTGGCAAAGTTCCGGCTACACTGAAAGACCGGACATTGAACTAGGACCTACAACGGGTCGTTAATCTAGGAGGAGTGCTTCGTATGTAGGCTTACCTTGCCAGAGCGCAAGCTGAACATGGTAGCGTGCAGGTTGGCGGTTGGGCCTGGTCAAAACCTTGCAAACCTGTCCTTGTGGTTTTCAGTGATTGATTTTTGTTGTCAAGTGAATCCCCAATCACGGCCAATCTCCAGGAACTTCTCCACCTTCAAAACATCCGGCATGCTCAAAAGCGGGAACGTGATGAAGAGACTGTGGAGAACAGCATGTGGCAATAGCACTTCCAACTTAACACGTCACCAATGATAAACTCTTGAAATGCAGAAGCATACACACTCCAAACATGAATCTCAGTGTTCCCCCTTCTGCAAATGTGTGCAGACTGTATGTCGGAGTTGCTCTTTTCTAAGCGGGTCATAGATATTCCGACGGCCACACCCCGAGCTTCAAACATAACCTCACTAGTTGCTTCTGGAAAACGGAACCCACGAAATGTGAGGAACTAGCCTCTTTCCAACAATCATGGAAGTGGACAGAGGGGTTCCAAAAGGAAAGTGGTCCTCCAAAACCATCGTGTCAGCTTTCACACGATCAGGCACAGGAAGTCATGTGGCACAAAATGATCTGCCTCCAATTTTAAATGCAGCTAAAACTGGCTCCAAACTGATTTGGGTCGCTTCCTGGAAAAGGAGGCAATATAAAAGCTATTCAAAAGTAGCATTTTCCCCCTTTGAGGAGTACTGCCAAAAGAGACCTCTTTGTCACTTCAAGTAGTGTTGATAAACTTCCTGGAACCTGACGGTAATACAAAACAGTATTTCCAGACTGCCCGAAACCTGACCACAATACAGAACCAAACGAAACTGGTATGGCTAGCGTGTTCCCTGTTTTCAGGGTGCCCTTTGTTGGGTGCAGAAGGCAAGCGAAGTTCAAACAGCTGTTTTGGTTGTCCCTCATATTAAGACACACCTATTTCCAGCTGGTGACATTTTGACATTTTCCTGCAGGATCCAAACCCCTCCCCAACCCCCCCCCCCCCCCTCCCCGAGGAATGTCCCTTTGATCAAGGAAACGCCCAAACTCGGAGCTCGCCAGGGACCCGGGGGCCTCTTCTCTCCCCGCTTCGGCGGCTTCTCGGTATGTACCGCCGCCGCTTTTGGCCCATTCGGCGCCCGGGGCCCCCGGGGACCCCAACATGAGCAGCCAGGAGCCGCTCATGAAGGCATAGCTCAGCAACAAGTTCGTGGGGCGCGGCGGGTTCAAACACCTGGCGCCCCGGAAGATTTCACAGGGGTCCCTAGCTGGAAGCCGTTCCTGTTTTTTGACAAAACAAATGCACATCCCCTTTAGGTTTTGATTCCGGGTATTAAATGTCAAACTTCGCTCCAAATCAGCTGGCAGTTAGGATCTTTTGCACCAGCCCAAATGTACCCTTAGGGACCTGTTCCTTCCAAAGGGTTTCTCGAGAAAAAGGACCAGCCCTGTAGTTGAAAAGCAAAAGACAGCCGGTGGAAAGGTTTGGGTGCAGTCAGGTTGGGCCAAGTTGTTCGAAGTTAAAAACCATCGAATATCTGATCCTTAACTTTACGCCTCCCTCTATACATGATTTCTGGTTGCCTCACCTTCCCCCAATCCAGGGGCAAGGACTGCGCCCACTGCATGAAACATGATGGGGAATGGCTGTTACTGGGGGGCCCCTTCTTAGGGGAAATGGACGTTTTTGGGCTGGAAAGGGACGTCCTCAAATGGGAATACCTCTTTTTCTACCAAACGAGCGGCCTGGGCGAGGAGGGAGGTCCCAGCCCTCCCAAACAAGGAGGAATAGAACTACTAGAATCAAACAACTTATGGCATAAATGAGATTCAAGTTGTGCAACTCCGTCCGCTTCGCATTTTGCGGGGGGACGTTGTGGGTCGGTTGCGGATGCCAACCAGTTGCCAAGAAGGCCGGAAGCTATGCAAATGGAACTCCTGCGGTCTCTGCCCAGTTTCAACCCAGGAATCAAGAAATGAAAGGTCATCGAGTCATCACCTTGAAGGACAACTAAAATGAGGGGAAACCAGGTCCAATCCGGTCGATTCGCTTGCAAGTGAGCATATGCCACATGCCCCCTACCTCAGCGCACAAATTCAGCTGGGGCTTCGCTTCGCCTTAAGGATGGCAAAGCCAGCAAGTAGCACATCGCCACCAAAGCCCCCGAGCCTGCGCCGGGCGAACAAACATGCGGCCCTTTCTTTGTTGGGGGGTCCAAATTCTGGGAGTGCTTCTAGGAAACCTGTTTCAAGCTGGTTCATAAGCACGCAAAGGGAACACCAAGTTCTTGGGGTCCGCCCCACCGAAAGAAACGTCATGTTGACATGGCACGAAAAAGCGAGGCTCAAATGCCTCGCTGGAAAATTGTCGAAGGAGGACCTGCTTTTCCGTGGCGGAATGTTCAATTCCTGGAGGCGGGTAACTTTGGTAGTTCAATTTGCATGAGGATTTCTGCCTGCGGGATGTCACAATAAGGGAGGAGTCCCTCCATGAAGGCCCCACGCAGAAGCACTGAAAGGTGAAGAAGGCATGGGAGGCAGTGTGGAGAGATGAAGGATGAAGAGACATGCAACCGAACAGAACGTCCCTTCATGAGGAAAACGGCCCAAAAACAAGGAACCGCCACATCCACGAATGCAGGATCCCTCATGACTCCCACTATGTTCATCTCCTTTTGTCTTCACCGGACGTGTTTTTTTGCCACAACATCAAATCAGAAAAGAGACAAGCACGTGCGAGATGGCTTCCAAGCCTTGCCCACCCTTCAGGAGCAAAAGGGCATAAAAGGGCACAGTGAGTAGCACGGCGCTCCCAAGGCTCCCAGTAACCTTTGCGAATCACTCGTCCCCTGCTGGTTTCCCTCTTAGAAGATAGTGACGGGCAGCTTGGCGCCCAAAGAAGGAAGCTCAAACAAAGTACCCCCAAAGCACAGCGAATCTCCGCGAGTCCTAAGGCTGCTCCGACTGCGTAGGTGGGGAAGGCGTAGTTTCCCACCAGCGTGGCTGGCACAGCTGTGTTCAGCCTCAGGCATCTTCCGTTCCAAAGCTGGTGGCAAATAGGCTACCTTAGACAAGGCCCCCAAGTTGTGATTCTGATTCATATAAATTCGTGAAACCCAACTAGTACTTAAGATGTACCCTCGGCTCAGAAAAGATCCGAGACATTTCGGGACATTCAGAATACTGGGTACTACGTACTTGTCATGTGAGGGGGCCGCCCGCGCGGTAACAAGGAAGCTGACAAAAGGGCCTTCTCAAAGGAACACGATCTTCCAGGACCCTCCATTCAGGTTTCTAGGGCCATTCTTTCTAGGGATCCTTCTTTCCAGAAAACCTCCTGAAACCCAGGGAAAACGGATCCGGTTTTTGGAAAGAACGATAATTGATGATGGTTGAAAATAATGAAGAATCAACCCCTGGAAGGTTGGGTGGCCAGGAGCCGCTATGATTCACAAAACGCGACGGGCGTAAGAGATGCTCCCACCACAGGCGAGTTCGTCACCTGTGCCGAAAAGCAAAAGGCACAGATTGCATAAACAAACGCACCCAAAGTCTGTCTACATGGAGCCCAAAGCTGGCGGTGAAACCCTTTGAGTCTTCCCTTTCCCCAGGCCTCCAGAGGACTCTGTGGACATGGGAAAGAAGGGCAGCCCTGTTTTGGTTTTCAAAGCAAGGCCCTCCAAAGAGGTAGCTGATTTCAAGGCAAGCTCCAAAAAAGGTAAGCACGGAAACAAGCAAAAATGGAGGTTTGGGCGTTCAATGCCCCAAATGGAACCCAAACTGCTGCCCAAGCGACATGTTCCACTGCATCTCTGTGCTGACCTGGGCGACGGAGCAAGAAAGTACCAAAAGCGACCTTCGAATAACACTCTGATACTCCCCCTAACTATGCCACCTGCAAAGCCCAAATCTGCTTGTAGGGCTGATCGACGATGCTTTCCAACTTCTTTTTGGGGCAAAGCTCACAAAGTTGCACCGATGTCCGATTCTCGGGAGGATCCTTCACTTTAGGGGGAACACACCTGGTTAATCCGCCAAATTCTACTTCAGCCCGGTGTTAACATTGAGCGCCGCAGGATACTCCCCCAAAAGAGGGTGTGACGCTGAGGGCGTTTGGTTGAATGCAAGATGTCGACACCTCCCCGCTCGCCTAGCGACCCTGGACATGGTTGTGGAAATCACCTTTTCAGTGATACCAAAGTCATCCAAAGCCGGCTGTCAGCACGACCACTTTACCACTGCAAGGGGGTTCCCCTTGCTATCAAAAAGCTCGAACAAAAAACACTTTTCCACAACCATGCACCTGGCAAACAAAGTCAGCTGTTGGAACCTTGACCACCCCAATTGAAGAACACGATGCCCCTTGCATTCCACGGAAGGAGCTGTATGTTGGGAATGCTTCTCCGTCTCCGTCTCCCTCCCTCTCTCTCTCTCAATCTCTTCCTCCCTACCTCTCTCCCTCTTCCCTCTCTCTCTCTCTCTTTCTACCTCTTTCTCTGGCATCCCCCTCAAATGTAATAAAAGGAAAACCCCACAGTTGGGTAAAGGGGCAAAGGCCCCCCTTTTGATCGCTGGTCATTGCGTCATGCCCCTTGTTTCCGAGCATGAATCTATTTGTGCCAGCTACTTTCACCCTGCTGCCAAACAAATCCTCACCCTCCTGACCAAAACATGCTTGTCGCTTTTGAGGGTACCCGTTTCCGGGGTTCCCTTAAGAAACAAACCAGGAACACGAAATCCGTTGGGGCTCCTGGTGTGTTCAGTTTCACGCAAAACGCCCCTGAAGAGCTTAGCAGCCGGGCGAAAGCACCCGAAAGCACCCAGTCGATCCACCGGATCGGTTTTTTGTTGGGCGCCTGGCGCATGCGTGCGGCTCGCTGGATGTTCCGTGCTTGCGGGTCTCATGTGTGCGGCTTAGGGGTGAGGCCTTCACTTGCAACCGAAAGGCCTGAAGGTGTGAGGAGGTTGCTGCCTTCTGCTTTTTGGAGCCAAGCTCAACTATGACAAGGGTGGCCGAATCATTGTGGTCAGTTTGCTTTCCAACCTTTGGTTCGCTCGCCAAACTCTTGGTTCTTGCCAACCCCCGCCCCACCCCCCACTAAAAGTGAACAACACTTTTGAAAAGCAACACACAAACACACACACACACACACACACTCGCCACGCCAGAAAAGTGAGTCATGGAGGTCTTGTCCTAAGGCACCTTGTGATGTTCACCCGCCGCTTCGGCCATGGGTTGTGCCTTCGCGGGGGAAGCACATCTGGGTGGTGGAACCCTCCCCACCATGAAGGAAATCCAAAAAACGAAAAGGATGGCAAACGCCGCCGAATCAGGTTTGTACTATCAGGGCTTTCCAACAGACCTCATTTGAGTCAGAATCAAAACTCGGTATTAAAATGGTCGTACCAGGGTTTTTATTGTGGCTCATTTGGACATTGCCTTCCGATTGTGGCTTGCCAGGCACTGACTGTTACGCTCTCGCGGCTTTAAGAGACCTCTGGACAAATGGCTGAGCCGGTTTCCTTCCGAAGTGCTCCATCGGTGCTCCTTTTGCCCAAAATAAATAAGGGGCCTCAAATGAGAAAAACATAGAGGACCTCCAGCCAAATAGGGGACCTCAAAATAGGCTTCCTGTTGATTTCCCTCTAAAATAGTGAGCAGGGGGGTCCTCTTCTTCGAGGACCTCCCGACTGCATGGCCTCTTCCTGGACGTCGGCCCACCCAGAAGTGTGGAGTGGCAACGCCAGCGCCTGGGAGATGTCGAGCTGGATGCCCGCTTCACCCGTTGACGTTTAGTTCTACCAAGATGTTCATAGAGGTTTCTCGGTTGCTTTGCTCCCCTGCTAAAAGTTCAACTTTTAGTGGTTTAATGGAAACCCCATTAGTTGGCAAACAGTTAAAGTCCTAACATCCAAGCAAAATGCACCTCTGGTTTTATATGGGCATGATGTGTAAGACCCTTTGGTGGACATCACTTAGGTGGGCAGAGTCATGTCCACCAGCATGTTGACTTGTTTGGCACTAATATGCATTTCAAAGGTTTCTTCAGACCGAAGAAATGCAGGACCACCTACTAAAATGGCCCACGTGCCGGATGGGCTGGGGACGTAGCTTCAGGCTGTGCCCACAAGCATGCTCGCCGCACCACAAAATGCCATCCGCTTTGAGCCCCAACAATTCCGGGCCCTTGTTGTGCAGAGGGCCTCTTCAATGCACTACCTTGGCCCAAAGGCGATGGGGTAAAATAGCAACCTGCTCCAAAGATGCTGTTTTCCTCACTCTAGCCATTTCGGAACCATGACCATTTTCTGGCTGGGACACCTACCCTCCAACTTCCCGCGGTTTCTGGATTGCTCTCCCCCTGAGCAAAGGTCTAACCTTGTTTTTGCTGGTGTGATGAGTTTTTGCTGGTTTGATGGTAGCCCTATTTTGTTCCCCCCAAAACCATTTCGGGTCACATGTATAAAGAACCCTGACCAAAATAAGGCCCCTCAAAAGATCCATGATGCTTCCTGAAAAGAAAAGTAGTTCCAAATCCTCTGACCGTCGGCTTCCCTGCTGGGAGGGGTGCCCGGGTTTTACACATCACGTGCCGAACCCCGAACCCCGACCAGGGGTTCGGCTAAGTACAGCAGGGCGAGCACCGCGCCGAAGGCAGCCACCCCGGCCTGACAGTTGCAAAAGGGTCCAATCCAACTCAAAAGGACCCACAAAAAGGACAACTCACTCGCCAGGGCTGTGGGGAATGACCACTTCTGTGATACAATTGGCTTCCCAAAGGCGAAGGGGCAGATTCCCTGTGGGGATAAACCACTTGATCCCACAACCTTACACTAGCCAAGAAGCGATTAAGAGGGTGAACAACGCGGTTGCGAACCACCACACTCAACGACCCCCTCAGCACGCCTAAAACGCCGAACAAACAGTGGCCACTGTGTGTCAAGGCAAAACATGACAAGTCGCAGACCAAAGGGACACCACTCCATTTTGAGGCCCAAGCTTCATTGAGGCCCAAAATGAGGAATTCGGCTTTCGGAGAGCTGGCAACGACTCCATTAATTAGACAAAAGCACCCTGTGTCTCTTCCATCTCCAAACAAAATTACACAAATTTTCCGGATCTCGGAGATGCGCCAGCATCATGCCTTGGGGGCTCTGTTTTGTCCAATCTGGGTCGCTTTTTTTGTTTCCGAGCAGTCGGCCCAGTTCATTGTACAGCTTGGGCCTGTCAAAGGCCCCGGATTGTTGGGAGCCGAAAATGCCACGCTTGTCGGGCTGCGTTAACCTCCCGGTGCTTTTGGTGCGTGTTCCACGGTGTGGAAAACAAAGCGGGAGCTTCCCCAAATCGTCCCAACACTCACATTGTGCCTGCAATTGTTCGTTGCGGTCGGATTTGAAGTGGTTTTATCCGAAGAGATTTGATTCACAGGGGTTCCATAGAGGGGATCCTTGGAAACACTTCGCGAATCCACGACTCCGGGGTGAACAGTACCCCTAAGTATATGGCTATCATGCCAGCGCCTGACAAATCCGGAGGACCGTGCAAATCAGAAGTGCGTCCCTTGCGGATTTAGCTCACTTCCAGAACTCCTGGTAGCTCCTGAGCTCCCCCTGGAACGAGGCATTGGGGCGTTAACTCCGTTCCATTCCAGGGGTGCGTGTGCATATACCCCTTTTACATACCCCTTGGACAAATGAACCCCAAAGGCCTGCTGATGTTCACACCCCTTCCCTTATATAGTTGGAGACCACCAGCTATCAACTGGCCCCGACCTGTCGGGCCCGGGGCCCAGGCCCAGCTGGTGAGGTCATAGAGCACGGCAGGCAGCACGAAGCTGCACACGTCCGCACAGGTGCGAGCGGCCTGGGCTTCGCCAAGTGAGGCTCCCGACCCCATGGGGGGACTGTTGATGCGCACATTGCGCCATATGTTTTCGCCCTCTACATGCATACAAATATATATATATATATATATATATCTGTACATATTGTATTATACATATGTGCGTACATACGGATTTGGACATATTAAGTACAATATTTCCAAATACGTGTATATATATATATATATAATGTGTGTTAACATGCTCTCTAGGAAACTCGGAGAGAAGATTCAACTGTCACCAACTCACCGAACCATCCGGTCTGTTCAACTGTCGCCCGAAACGGAATTTATGGAAAGCCACACAAGGGAGTCACGTGAGCTCAATTCCCGTTCACTTCGAGATGCCATCAGAAGCCCATGGTTGTGGAAAACGACAGGGGGGCCCTTGGTACAGAAAAAAAGGCCTGATTCCCCATGCGCTCAGGTGGATCCCTCAAAAGGTTCGCGGAAAATGGGCCATGACCAAACTCAACACAACCAATGATTCTACAGGGTCCCTTGGTAGAGAACCCGGGGCCCAATTCCATGTTGATCAACCCAACCCCAGACCCCAACTCCCCAGGACGTTGGGATTTCCTCAAACCCATCTCACACCCAACTCCCCGCAGCCGCCCAAATTGTCCAATCCTCAAGGCCCCCCGACGCCGCAATGCTTCGAGAGCCGCGTCAGCGCGTCCATGTCTTGGCCGCAGGCGGCCTCAAACCGCCAGCCACCCAAAAGGGAACCGCGGCTTCACCCTGCGATGCTGTGGATGGGCGAAATCCGCTTGCACCACGTTGATTCCATGGTTTTCCAGGGAAGTCATCATTCCAGGGTTTCCATGGTGGTACGAAGTGGACTGCGTCCATCCCATACCAAAGTGAGATTCCCGTCCCTGTGATTTTGTACCTTGCATTTGACTACATTCAATGGGATCACCTTCGCGGACCATAGGTTGTATGCTTAAGGACCTATATAGACGAGGGGTGCATGGCATAGCTAGGACCAAGCTGCATCAAGAACAATGACCCCGTGGACAGCTGTTCATGTCAATGCGAGGGAGGTGTCACGAGCTTCAACAGTGGCCTCACTTTAGATGGCTCCTTCTTCAAGAAAACAGGGGATTACCTCAAGCCCCGATCCCGGCCAACCCGCTCCCTCCTCCCCGCCCAAAAAAAAGAAGTCCCAATGCACCTTGAGGCTACATAAGGTCTTAGAGCCCGACGTGTTTTCTAAGGGAAGCGGACAGGGCCCCTTCAAGATGGTCGGCTTCCAAAACCATCCCGTCATATTCTATGATTGCGGGGAGCGCACACGGCAAAGAAGCAACAAACAACATCAATTACCAATGCTTGAATGGCCATCCTCCCCTGCAGCAAATACAACTACCTGCGTATAACCTCCAATTGCTTGAGTCTCCTGGGGAAAAAAGCAAAACACATATGTCCAGTAGTGATAGATTCCCTTGACAGCAGGGGAAAATAAACACAGTAAGCAAATGAAAGATACAGTTGTCACAACTCCACCAATGAGCTCACGCCTGACAGTGAAGAGTGACACAAGGTCGGACGAAGCCAACTCCTGGGCGCAAAACACAAAAGGCAAGCTATGCGCACCGGGGCGATCTCGCACTCTGGGATGTTTGACAACAGAACGCACTCCCTTCCCCAAGTGACACAGTAAAAACAAAAAAAACTGTTGGGAACCTTCACCTAAAAAAAGCCGCTTTGTCGGGCTCCATGCTTGCCGCTTTGGTTCAGTCTCTGGGTGCAACAGAAAGCGTAGCAAGTCTCACTTGCGCGGCCCTTAACATATGACCTTAACCTGCGAATGAACTTGGACTAAGCCAACTCTGATCATTCCAGAGGGCCGGAGCCCGTCCCCCCAAGATTAGATGCTACCAGGCCACATGGTTCCCAGCTTTGAGTGGAAAAGGAAACACAGACATCCAACTGGCCCCAAAAGGATTTGTTCAAACCATCCAAAAGGGGAACAAGTGAACCGAACTCCAGACAGGAGCGGACAAAACAATAATTCCTTCTTTCCTGTGATGCCCCGACTTGATGCACGTTGCTGTGTCACGTAGCTGAAGCATTCCGCACTTGTCCAGCCCTCCAGCAGTTCGATGAATGGCCACAACGTGCAGTGCTAAGTCAACTACATGTTTTGTTCGAGGGCATCCTGATTGAAGGTTTGGCATGGGATTGCTTCAAATGGAAACCTAACGGCCCATATCTTTGTGGATTGTGCGGAAAGAGAAACTTTTAGTGCTGGATGGAAAAGCAGGTAGGTTTGACTCAATCGGGAAATGCAAGATACGGCCATGCACCTCTCCCAACCTTCCGCCCCACAACCACCAACAATAAACATGTGATTCAAACAAACAAGCATACAGCAAAAAAAAACAAACAAACAAGATACTCAAAAAAAAAAAAAAACAGAAAACAACAAAGCATTGAACAACGATAGGCAAACAGTACACTGAAGAAAGCAAGCATGAAAGCTAAAAACACCAAATAACAGCAGGGGCGAACAGCACCACAGGACAAAAACCTGAGTTGGCCTATATCTGAGATATACAGAAAATTATATCTTCTGATAATGCTTCATAGGCCATATAACATAGTTTGGAGGAGAGCCCAAAGAAGACATCAGGCAACAAGACACACCAACGACCACCCGCGCATGTGCCGATGGTTTCGATGTCCTGCCGCGCAAGCGAGGAGGTGGAAGGCCCAGGGCGCGTTTGGAAAGGCGAAGGAGGTCACCTAAGAGCGGCGCGGCCCGGGACATTGTGGAAGAAACTTGCAGGGGCGATCGGGCGGTTACCCTCCACCCTTCTACGATTGCGGTGCACATATGGGCCTATCCAAACAATTGCATCCTCAAGAAGACGAATGTGTTGTACACTTTGCAGGTGGCGTTCCGTTTCCCAGAGTTCCTTAAGGAATGCATATGGGCCACTTAAGCAAACACAACACATCCTGGCCAGCTGATTTAGATGATCCCCCTGCAAAGCAGGTCCGGCCCATGGTTGCGGAAAATAAGCTTTTCAGAGCCACTTGCGTGGGGATGGGACTCCCATGTTGGTTTCACAGAAAGGCCTACTTAAAAGACATACTTAAAGGGGCGCTCCATTCGGTACGTCAGGTAAGTGGTTAGTAAGCCTGGCTATGCGCCACTAAGCGGAGACTTGTTTCACCTGGCTTACTACCACTTACTACCCTCCCGCCAATTAACATGGAACCTGACGTTCCGGACCCGATCCCTTTAAAAGGAACATGGCTCCAAACTAGGACCTTCCCTTTACGAGCGTCGAACGGTTCCATGTGAGAATGGGCAAGTAAGCATATTAACCTCCCTGCATTTGAAATCGCAAGCCCCTAGAGGCAAGTTTTGCAAAAAACAACTCCCTGACAAATGGCTGACAGCCAATACTATCCTGCCTAAAATACTATCCTGCCTAAGCACCACCCGAGATGTATTGAGACATTGCCCCCGCCGCCTGCCACCCCGCCGCCCAGCCGCCCTGCCAGCCGGCCCAGCGGTCGCTCCACTTTTGACCATCGCGGAAGGCGAACGATGCGCCGTGAAACACAGTCGCTGGCGTAGAAACTTTTGTCCTCGACTTTGCGGCCAGCGCTACTCGCCGCCCAATGCGCTACTCTGCGCCCGTGCTCAAACTGGACCTGGTGAAGCAGGGCATATCACTGGAATGGCCTTCTGGCATCACAGTCGGAATCTTCCCGACTTCATCCCAACTTGCCCACAACAAGGGACACCCTTGTTTGTGTTGGCAGAGTGTGAAGGGAATCTCATCCATCATCCACAACAACAACTTGCACAGTACATCCCAAGCTTCGAATGCTTAGCATACAAGAAATTGCGAACACATACTGTGGATGGACGCTATCCGTTCGCACCACTTTGAAAACCATGGGAAACGGTTCTCCGTTGGTATTTACAAGGGAGTCATCACTCCAGAGTTTCTTAGGTGGTGCAGGATTTGGTTCATCTACAATATTAAATTAGTATTAACGCCCCCCCCCCCAACAAAAAAAAAAAGGAAGCAGCTGGCAGCATAGCACACGCCATACGAGTCAAACAAACACCAGTTAAAAGGCGCAGGGTACCTAGTAAGTGGTGAGCAAGCCTGGTTGTAACCCACAAAACTGATGGATACAAGTCTCCGTCCCGTCGTGGGTTGGTACCCCAATCGCCCCTTTAAGTAGACTAGATCCTCCAGTAGAGAGGTCATTTTTTCTGTCTATCTTAGTAGGGGAACCCTCCCCAAAAAAGAAACGGTCAAAGTTGGCACCTAACTGGGGGGACCTAGTTCAGCTTCCCTCCGACTGGTTTGGAGGCTTCCGGGGTGGTTTCCCGGATTTACGCGCGAAAGGAACCAGGAGTACTACTGGGGGCACTTGTAGAGACAGTGCAAACTGAGCCCATCGCCTTCAGCTGGCCGACTCAGACGGCCAAAGCCAAAACGCCATCTCCTTGACGCCCGGGGGGCCGTGGGCCGGTGGAGGTATGAGAGCTGGTGAGCAGCACCTGCAATCGCGCGCCCTGACTCCCACAGCTGACGGGGGGTCCCTTTAAAAGAAAATGGTCCAAACCAGGACCTCCAAAGAACCCCAGGCTCCAGGTGAAAAGGGTGGAAGGTTTGGTCCCCTGGAAAAAATGAGAACATATGTCCAGCAGTGAGATCGATTCCCTTTAACACCAACACAGGGATTAACAAACAAAACACTTCAGAAAATGAAAGCAAGGTATTTTCACATGACTATAGCTCACAGGCTGGAACACGGGAAACAACAGGCTTCCCTACATTTATCGTAAATCATCAGCCCTGCCAAGAATACGCGACCCTGGCAAAAATGGGGGCCGTTTCGGAAGCCTGGCCCAAAACACAAACTGGTTCACGTGCTCGAAGCAATTCCTGCATCTGAACTTTTGATTCAGGCATCGGTAGTTTCCCACACCTTCAGGTGTGTTTGTGAAGCATATGCCTTCCAGTGATACCACAACGTTCAATATCCCCATGACTCATGTATGTGCTATATAATATCGATCTATATGTGTATATATGTATTCTGCAAATTTTACTATAAATCCTGAAGCTGAATTAAGGGATCCCCAAGTAAAGCACCTTTATCATGGTGAGCTCGTTATACCCCCAGGTGAGCTCGCTAGAAAATAGGCAGATGTACCCCTCTCTCCCAATTTGAAGAGATTCCATTGGCGTCGCTCAATCAAACTTCTGCTGTTTCCACCACGCCTTCAGCTGGTAGGCGTTGCACATCTTCCTGAGCTCCGCGTTCTCCACCAGCAGCTCGTAGCAAAGACCTGGCCCCAAAACGCGCGAGCAAAGCCGACACAAAGCGCCGGCTGTTTTTTTTCTGGGACGTTACTTGCTGGTTTCTAAGCAGGGGATGAGCGAATGAACCCCCAGGACAAAATCACTTGCGACTTCCTTTAAGGGAGTTTTTAGGTTCATTCTCAACACCCCGATTCATTCCCGACTGAGCACCAGCAGGGTTGGTGTCCAGAGTGAGAGAGCCACCCAAAATATTGATGGCGGCACACAACCCCCCCCCACCCAACCCAGAGTGAGGTCACCCGTCCCGTCACCGCCGTCACCCAAACCAAGGGCCTGGGATGTGGCTGTCCCTGGAGACCAGCAGGTCCCGATCCATGGAGATGATCTGGTCGATCTTGGCGTCGGAGCTGGCCACCAGGAAGGAGAACATCTCGTCGTCGGAGTTGAAAGCTAAGCCTGGAGCAAACCTACCCGCCCCCTACCGATGGGAGGGGGAGGTTTTTTTGTGATTTGTTTGTTTTTTTTTTGGGGGGGAACCCAATTCCATTTATCTAGCCTTCCATATGAAAGGGAAAGTGCCGCCAAAACGGGGGGAGTGGGGGAGTGGGGGGAGTGGGGGGAGTGGGGGGTGGACCCTTCCATTTGCTGAAATGATTTTGTTTTTGTATTTCCCCTGTTGGTTTTAAAGTTGGAATCGATTTCACAACTGGAAAGATGTTCGCATTTTTTCCGGGGGACTTAAGCAAATGGAGACTAGCCCCAGATCGGATTAGTTGTTTGGTGGTCAAGGATGGGTTCCCCTTTGCCCTTAACAAGAAGCAAGGGTTCAAGTCCTCAAACCACCAATCAAACCATCAATTAGGGCTAACCTGAGTAAAATCACAGGGTCCGTCTGGGACCCAATTCCATTTATCGAGTCCTCCCCAGAAAAGGTGAAAAATGCAGCCATAAATGGAATTTCAAAGATCACCCCCCGTCCCCCAATTCCATTTTTTGGGGGGGTGGGATCAAACCCGCTGAACGGAGACTTGCAACCATGGCTTGTACCCTGCCCCTTTCAGTACCCGGGAACCGTTTGGCGAGCTGGCCAAGTCAGGAAAGATCACCGGGTGGATTTCCAGGGGCAAACATTGGAACCACCCGAATCCAATGAATATCCAGGGTTCCCTCACGCAATCCGATGCCATTCCACCCTTCCACTTCCCCTCCTAAGTGTAGCAACCCTGCATGACAGGCAATTAACGGAATTCCGCAGGCTCTGGGGGACCTTGAGCCCGATCCACAGGTTTCAGAACCCACCTGCAAGCCGAGTTCTCCCCAAACCTCTGGATACCCGAGACTGTTGAAAAAGGCGCTGCGAGTTTTGCAGGGGCTCATTTGGTTTTTGTGTAGAAGGAAGCGGCTCTTTGGGGCCCCACTTCCCGCCTTCGGGGATCTTTGGCCTTTTCCTCGCGCCCCGCCTTGACCCCGGAGGTTGCACTCCTGGTAGAGGTTGTAAATGGAGAAGCGCTTCCTTCGGAGGTCAGAATTGATGCACCTCTTGGGACACGGGTCTTGAAGTTCAGGCCTGGACAAAGTTCCTTCAACCCAGTGTACCCTCCAAAGTTAGTAAACACTCATTTCGGAGCCACGACTGAGCATGAGCCAGGAGAAAGGTGAACCAACACGTCATTTTTTTCGGCATTTGACACTTTGCAAAGTAAAACTTGCCTACTGAACCGTTAGAATGTTTAGCTCCCAACCCCCTGAGAACAGCGTGCCCTTGAATACAGCTGCCTAAAAGGATACTGGCACAGAAGGGGTAGAACGTGTATGAAACCATATTTAAAATACAAATAAGAACCTTGTTTTGTTTGTGCAAAACGGTTTTCAAACAACAGCACCTGCAAAAGGAGCCCAAGAGGAAGCACACCAAAGCATGCGAGGCGCCATTCCCCTGTGTTTTTGCCGACTGCCAGTTTCTCAAAACAGTGGACCCCCGTTTGGCGCTTAAAAAGGACACCCACCAGGCAACCAGCCGCTCAGCCAGTGTAAGGCCGGTTCTGTCAATAAAAACCGCCCCTCAAAAAGGGTTGCCGCGCCAAAAGTTAAGTTTAAACATAAGTCCAACACCTGGTCCCTGGGGCCTTTGACGGTCACTTATTTCTGGATGTTTGCACCGGCGGGCGGTTTTGGGTCAAACGGGCGGTTTCGGCCGACCGGGTAGTTTTCCGCAATATACATCGACTTAGGTCGAAATAAGAGAACTGCATGACTAGGGTTGCAAACAGGGGTCAAAGTGCAAGCCGCCTGTGTGCACATGTGACGCTTTGATCATGGCGTGGAGCAGCGCGCCTGGCCTGCTTGCGGCATCTTGAAAATCTAACAAGCTTAAATGGGCGATGGCAGGTGCGCTGCGCTTTGGCGCTTCTCCTGCACATTGCAGGCCCGATTTCTTTCCCATGCAGCTGCTGCCAGAGCTTCCAAGCTTGCGTTCAATCCAGTTTAACTCGTTGAGTGTGGGCCCAGATCGAGCACCATGAGTTTCAGCTTCATAGAAGCGTGCGTGTGCAGCAATGGAAGTCTTGCGATCTTCTTCGCAAGCGTGCTGTGAAAAGCAAGGCGCAATGCCTTCCAACACTCCAGAACATGAGGCTCGCTGTGCTTCTTCGCGCGTACACTTTGCAAATGGCATCTGACGGCCACCGCTCCGCTTCTTGGGTGTTGCTGGCTCTGCGGAGCTGGCAGCGATGCTTTGCCCTTTGAAGAAGTGTCGCTACAACCACAGTGGCTAAGCACATGCGGTCCTCACAATTTGCTGCTTTGGGATTCTCCTGGCCCTTTGCTTAACGGACTCGGACAATGCGGCGCGATTTTATTGCCCTGATTTATTTCATATATTTCACGCCGGCACCAGTATGGATTTCGCTGCCAGCTCGTTGCTGTATGCCACGAAGACATTGTTATAGGGGCGAAGCCCAAAATAAAGACTTGATCAAATGAACTGGGCCCTACGCAGCTAGTTGAAGCGCACCAAGGGCGTCAGTTTGGAGCTAGCACTTGACCTTTTGGGGTACGAGAGCGGCGCCTCGTACCCGTGGGGCCACTGGTCAAAAGGCGCTGACACCGTTGTGCTTCTCCGGTTCTTAACTGAACCTGGAACCTCCATCGTAGCATGAATTTCTGCCTCCCCCCTTGTTCGATACCAAAATTGCCTCGACGTAGCACTTTTTGCCTCCCATTCGCTTCCGAGCGCTTTTTGACGATTCGGGCAGAAATCCCATTCGGCCGTGTTTTCTTGATCCCCAGATTCAAGTTGCCGCCAAAACGGGCGCAACAATGTGCAAAAAAAGCGCAAAACGAGCGCAAATTGGCGCAAAAACGCGCAAACGAGCGCAAATTCAAAAAATGCTACGGATCGCAGGTAGCAAATTGCATTTGCGCGGATGTCTCGAGCACTTTCTGTTCAAACGAGCGTTTTTTGTGAGAAGAACGTGTCACGAGCAAAAATATTTCGTAGCAAAAATTAAGGTAGCAATGGAGGCTCCAGGAACTCTTGGGCACGCCGCAAGCGGCCCTCGAAGGTGATCGTGTGTTGCAGGAAATTCTTCGAGGGGTGGAGAGGGTTTCCTTTATGCTTATCGGAACTTGGTAGCCTGGAGCCATGAGAAGTCACTGTGTTTATTTGGTGTGCGAACGCTCGCAACGAGCTAGTGCAAGAAGAACAGACTCTCGCCAGAACGGCCTGGCTTATGGCGCAGGAAGCGCCCTGTGGCTGAGGCGCCCGGCGGAAAGCCAACGTTGGCCATCCCAGGAAAAATGGCTCCGGACGAAAAGGGCGGTTCTGGGCGAAACGGGCGGAACCACCCGACCCCCCTAGGGACGACCATTTTAGAATGGGTCCTAAGGGATCCCCGAAAAGAAAACAACAACTTTACCATACCTTTCGATTGTTTTTCTTCCGGAATTTCGGCGGAAAACCGCTCGCCAAAAATCACTCGCCAAAAATCACCCGCCAAGTGTCAAGTCCGCCCACCGGCCCATGAGGATCTTCAGGCCGGGGAGGGAGATGTCCATCTTCTGGCCCTGCTTCATCTTCAGCACCTCCTCGCGGGAAACGTGCGAAGCGGCTGTTGTGTCTTTGGGCGAACGAGGTCCGTTCTTGCGGACGGTCCTTTAAAGGGAAGCCAAAAGGATACCAGCACTTTTTGTTTCGTGGGTTCCCCAAGTGCATCAAAAGGGGAGAACCCCCAAATACATGTCGCTGGTCTTTTGGTTTCTCTTTGAAACCGCTTCGAAAAGGGAGTCGAGAAAAAGACAGGCACATGTGGGGGCCTGGCCCCAAACATATTGACCCTCGCAAGGGTCCAAGACTTTGGGCTAGCTTTGAGCCTTGGCTTCCCCATCGGCTTCCTTGGTTTCCACATCGGACTCCCCTGGCTCTCTTCTTTTCAAGGTCTCCCAGAAGTACCTGCCATAAGGATACTCTTAGATTTGCAAATTGTAACATGTAGCTGGAGGCAGGATACAGGCAGACTTGGCACCCCATGGCACCCCTAGTTGGAGAACCAATTGAAGGCTGTCTCAAGCAAATGTCCAAAAGCATAACCATATGTTTAAGCGGGAGCTATTGGGCAACGCGCGCACCCGCTACCATTCAGAAGGCTCTGCCGTCAGTTCCTGCAGAACTCTCCCAGGAAACACCCCCCAGGTTTGCTTTTGGTTTATGCAGGAAAAGTTGCACTCTGGGTGTTTAAACTCCGTCCCACTAACATGGCACCTGACAGAGGGCCCATTGAAGAGGTAATCGATCTTGCGGGGAGCCTGGTACATTTGGGTCCCCCTTCTATGTTGCACCAAGAAGGGTTTAAAGCCTGATTGGCTTTAGAAGTGGAACCCTCAAAATGGAGCCCGGGTTGCCCGTTGGTTACACTTCAAGCCAACCCCAAACAAGGGCACCCGAGGGGTCTGGGGCAAAGCTGTCTACCTACAGAAAACACCGGTCGAACCCTATTTCTTGGCAATTTTAGCCTGCAAAGCAGGGCACCCTCTCAACTACCATGCTCTCACCTCCTGATAGCCCCTTAGCCACCACTTACATTAAGAGACCCCAGTTGCTTGGCGTCCTTCCAACCACCATCAGATCGAGGAGTCGAAAAAGCAAGATGGGACCCCCCGCCTCCTGCAATCCCAGCACTTGAAGCTTCGACTCGAGCACCTCTGAGAGACTCTCCTCAAGGGTTGGAACAGCACAGCCGGCACCAACCGCTTCAAACTATCTTCATTGTGTTCGCATGATTGATGGTTTCTACAAATGACAGACCTGTATAAGTCTCAAACTACCTTCAGTGCAGGGATGGAATGATTGCTGTTTAAAAATTTTAAATGCCCACATATCTGTTGCTGCGCTAATAGTTTAGTTTTCCACTAGTGAGGGTTGAAAGAGCGACTCTTTGGCGTTGAAAAATACAGGCCTGCTTTTAAGGCTAACTCCAGTTGCAACGCCAGTCCCTGCAAAAGTGATCGTTCTCGCTAAACCCAGGGACCTTGTAGGGGGCCCTATTCAAACACTGGAGTCAGTCTAGGGCTTGCATTGGGCCGATCCCCTTGATGGACAGGGTCCTTCCACGGAAGTTCCAACGGGAAGCATCCAAACGCCACCCATTTTGGGAGTCCCAAGTCTCGGCCACCAATATGCGGTGGTGTGGTGCGTGTGGTGTGTGTGTGGTGTGTGGTGTGTGTGTGTGTGTGTGTGGTGTGTGTGTGTGTGTGTGTGTGGTGTGAGGTGTGTGTGCGTGTGGCGTGTGTGTGTGTGTGTGTGGTGTGTGTGTGTGTGGTGTGTGGTGTGTGTGCGTGTGGCGTGTGGCGTGTGGCGTGTGGCGTGTGTGTGTGTGTGGGCGTGTGTGTGTGTGTGTGTGTGCGTGGGTCTGTGTCTGTGTCTGTGTCTGTGTGCGTGTCTGTGTGTGGTGAGCGTGGTGTGTGTGTGTGTGTGGTGAGCGTTGTGTGGGTGTGTGTGTGTGTGGGACAGGTGTGTGTGTGTGTGTGTGTGCGTGTGGTGTGTGTGTGTGTGTGGTGTGTGGTGTGTGCGTGTGGCATGTGTGTGTGTGATGTGCGAGTGTGGCCCGATGTGTGTGTGTGTGTGCTGTGTGTGTGTGGGTGTGTGTGTGTGCGTGCGTGCGTGCGTGGGTGGGTGGGTGTGTGTGTGTGTGTGTGTGTGTCTGTGTGTCTGTGTGTCTGCGTGTCTGTGTGTCTCTGTGTCTGTGTCTGTGTGTGTTTGTGTTTGTGTGTGTGTGTGTGTGTGTGTGTGTGTGTGTGTGTGTGTGTGTGTGTGTGTGTGTGTGTGTGTGTGTGTGTGTGTGTGTGTGTGTGTGTGTGTGTGTGTGTGTGTGTGTGTGTGTGTGTGTGTGTGTGTGTGTGTGTGTGTGTGTGTGTGTGTGTGTGTGTGTGTGTGTGTGTGTGTGTGTGTGCGTGCGTGTGTGTGTGTGTGGGTGCGTGCGTGCGTGCGTGCGTGCGTTGCGTGCACGCGTGCCGCGTGCGCGTGCAAGTGCGTGCGCGTGCGCGTGCGTGTGTTTGTGAGTGTGTGTGTGTGTGGTGTGTGTGTTTGAGTTTGTTGTGCGCGCGCGACGTGTGTGGTGTGTGTTTGGGTGGTGTGTGCGTGTGGCGTCTGTGTGTGTGTGTGTGTGGGGTGTGTGTGTGTGTGTGGTGGGTGTGGTGTGGTGTGTATGTGTGTGTGTGTGTGTCTCTGTGCGCTGTGCCTGCGTGTGTTTTGTGGGTGTGTGGCGTGTGTCTGTGTGTGTGTGGTGTGTGTGTGTGTGGTGTGTGTGTGTGTAGGTGAGTGGTGTGTGTGTGTGTGTGTGTGGCTGTGTGCGCTGTGCCTGCGTGTGTTTTGTGGGTGTGTGTGGCGTGTGTCTGTGTGTGTCTGTTGTGTGTGTGGTGTGTGTGTGTAGGTGAGTGGTGTGTGTGTGTGTGTGTGTGCGTGGTGTGTGTGTGTGCGCGATGTGTGAGTGTGTGTGTGTGTGTGGCGTCGGTGTGCGTGTGTGTGTGTGTGCGTTTGTGTGTGCATGTGGCGCGTGTGTGTGTGTGTGTGGGTGGTATGTGTGTGTGTGTGTGTGTGCGAGTGGTGTGTGGGCGTGTGTGTGTGTGTGTGTGTGTGTGTGTGTGTGTGTGGGTGTCTGTGGTGTGTGTGTGTGTGTGAGTAGGGCGTTTGTGTGTGTGATGTGTGGCGAGTGTGGTGTGTGTGGGTGTGTTGTGTTTATGTGTGTGTGTTGCGTGTGCGTGCGCGTGCGCGTGCGTGTTTGCGTGCGCAAATGGGTGTGGGTGTGGGTGTGTTTGTGTGTGTGTGTGAGCGTGCGTGCGTGCGTGCGCGGTGTGGGTGTGCGTACTGTGCGCGGTGCAAATATGTGTGTATCTCTGTGCCTCTGTGTCTGTGTGTGTGGTGTGGTGTGCGTGTGGCGTGTCTGCGTGGCGTGTATTGTGTGTGTGTGTGTGTGTCGTGTACTGTGTGTGTGTGAGTTATGTGTGGGGTGCCTGGGGCAGGGTGTGTGTGTATCTGTGTGTGCGTGGGCATGTGGGTGTGCGCGTGCGTGTTTTGAGGATATGATATCCTTTCTTCTTTGGCTTTCAACATGTCCAAGAGGAGAACCATCATGTGGCTTCCCTCTTTTTTTGGGCGTCCCTAACCAACCCTAACCAACTCTTGTGGCTTTTTGGCCCCAGCCAAACGGAGCGCCTGGAGCACGCGGGTAAAGAGATCGTAGGTCCGCAGGTTCCGGACCTTCGTGAGCTGCGAGGATACAGCTTCTGTCTCCTTGGAGTGCAGAAAAAGGGGGAAAACACGTGCGTGCACTTTCGCATACTGATGGCCAGAGCAAGGGGACGCATTGCAGTCTTATAGTGACTATGATTGGCCAAGAGCGACTATTAGGGCCATGACGACCATCCAGGGCCAATCTGCCAAAACTGATGCAGAAGCATGATGGGAGACTTAATAGCCCCGAATAGTCGCCATTAAACTGCCATGGCTCCCCTTGCTGTGGCTTTGAATCAGAAAAGGATTTCCTTGATGGTTCCCCTTACACCACATTGAATTTCCAGTTTTCCCGAAAAGCAACCCCCCAGAAACCTTGAAGCAGTACCTTGAAAGTGGTCGTTCCCAGAGAAAAAAGGTGCGCACAGCCTCTTACATGGGTGCACGTGCGCACATAGAGTCGGGCGCTAGCACTGGGGAAAGCAGGGTGGGTACACACCTAAGGGGCACGTAACCCTCTGTCCACTTGAGGGGAATGTGAGGTTCGTGCAAAATTGGGTGACCCAAAGTGGATTCTAACAAATGGGTTGTAGGATTCTACCGCTACACATATGGCTGTGCTTTGGGGCAAGCCTTGTTGGAACCTGTTCGGAGTCCCCTGACCAAACCCTTTGGTCAGCGAGGCGTCTTTGCTCAGGTAGTTGGCGCGATCTGGGCCTGCAAGCGAGTGCAAGCAGAGACCGGCAAATGAAGGCCCCGAGAATCTCCGAAGCTGCCTAGAACCTTCCAAAACCTGCCCGAGAATCCCAAACCCCGGATTAACTAAGACCCTATAGCTGTGTGACCGATTCGCTTTGGGTAAGTGAGCTCCTTGCCCTGCGACCCTTCGTTAGAAAAAAGACTTGGAACCTGCAACCATGTCTTCTGCTGATTTAATATATTTAATGTGTGTTTAGTGGAACCCACCGAGCAAGAAGTGAATTTACGGGTCACACGGGGCCAGAAGTAAGGGCCTAAAAAATTGGAATCCGGCCATTTGTATGTGCAAACAGTATCAAGCCAGGTTCTTGAGAGCCAAACGCTTGTGAAGATCTAGGCCCTCATAGCGCAGGGTATCATAGAGCCACGGAAAGAGACACACCCATTCGCTGCCTTTCAGCCCATCAGGCAGACTTGCCTAAATCGACCGCTCGATTTGCCGGGCCCGAGGAAATTGCCATGCTCGGAGGCACTGGAAACAACCAGAGAAACACAACTGATTGAGTATTACGTCTATGCCATGTGTCAGGTTGGTGTAAAGGGAAGGAAAAAGAACCACAATGTTTGGGGGGTTCCCCTTTGACATGCAACCAAATGGGCGTGTCTTTCTTTAGGGACCCCCCTCCCAAACAATAATGATAATGTAATGATGACGTGATTCTACTAGTTTCCTTCTAGACCAATCCACACCAGACACACCCAAATGTGGCCAACCACCGTCGCTCCCCCCGGCCTATGCCCAAAAGATCTGGAGCCCCGGTCGGCATCCCTCGCTTGTACTCGATGAGCTGTCGCGCTGCGACGGTCCGCCGGATCTTCTCCCGCCTTGGACGGTCAAAACCTGGGCTTTGAAATGTTAAATTCTATCATTCTAACGGAAGCCTCCCCATTCTTTCCACGGATCCGTTGTTCAGAAAACCATCAAAAACCCAGGGGGGAACAGCTGGTTTTTGAAAATAACGATAAGACTCAACTCCTAGAATAGTTGCTGTAATCCGCTTGCAAAAAGTGAACAACGTTTTGTGGGGTCAAGGGAAACCGCAAATGATTTTAACCAAGAAGTTCAAGTCTAAAGATCCAACCCAATAGCAATCAAGCTATTCATCCAGTCCTACCATATCCTTAAAGAAGTGTTGGCTGTGGAAGGCTCCCTCAAAACCATCCAACCACAAGCTGGAATCCTTTTCCCACTATCATTGAGCCAAGGGGAAAGACATACGTAAGATGTTACAACATATTGACCCAGCCGCCGGAGCTTGCAATCGTCCATGAAGAGCGAGAGCATGAACTTGACCTCAAACGGCGGTGCTTTTTTTGTCGAGGCTCGGGAAAACGAAAACCACCTTCTAGGCTCCCCAATTTCGACAAATGCCCAGATTGTGACGTCCCTGGGCTAGAACCAGCTCACCTACAATGTGATGTCTTTGCTTGGGGATTCTGTATTTCCTCACTCTTCTGCTGTTAAGAAGGGGTTTGGGTAGGGGAAGGTTGGGGTGTTGTGGGTCAGGGAGGTTTGGGCGTTTTTGAGGGTTTGGGTGAGGTGACAGGAAACCACAGAAACAATCATTCTAGGCATCCCTCCGTTTAGAGAAGCACTCACCGACCTCCAGCAAATCCGGTGCACCCAATCCAAACTCAACACAAGGGTGCGACAACCTCACATGTTTGAGTTGTTGTTAATTTGGTGATTGCCGAGCGATGGATTGACCTGAATGCCCCACCTATGCGTTGCCCCTGAGCCAGCGTGCTGAAAGCGCACTAAGCGAGGGACAAAGGATGGATGGTGTCTCCTGGACTGCGCATTTCATAGCCGCAAGGACCACTGGGATGCTATGGGGGAGTACTGGGCGCGGAGTGACCAAACGTGACCTCTCGTTGTCTGGGCGCGTTTTTGGTGCCCTTCTTCTTCCGGATCTCGAAGAGCTGGGCGCGGGCGGATTGGATGAACTTGTCCAACTCGTACGAGGCATCCTGAGCCGAGGGTCAAAGAACCACTTCAGAACCCCTGCGCCAAGACCTGCTGAGCATGCCAAACAGAACGCCTTCGAAACCAAAAGAGCCTCCTTTCCTATAACTTCCCTCGTGCACCTTTGTTGGAGGTACGCAACCCCGTTTCATTTTTTGAGAGCCAAAATAATTAAATAGGTTGGTAGGCTCTCTCAAACCAGAGAGGCCAGTGTCCGCAGCCCGAGTTACCTGGAAAAATGTGTGTCAATGATGGGACACAAACAATTGTAAGGGCCAGGGCTGTGGGAAATGACCACTTCCATGGTACAACAAAAAGGACTTCCCAAAGACTAATTGTATCATAGAAGTGGCGATAAACTCCTTGATCCCGCAACCCGGGTACACTACCCTGCCAAAAAGACAAAACCCACCCTAACCTACTTCACTGGAATTTATTATTGAGTCTGAATTTGTTCCACCACTGGTTTGTGGGTTGCATTTTCTGCCTACAAGAGCCCTACCTCTGCCAAGTGCAAGTGAAGGCACCTGGCCTCTGTAAACTCATCACATCTGCAACAAGTTTCAAACAGTTGGCGCACTACAAACAGTGCGAACATATGCAAATGCGAAGAACCTTGCTGCAACTTCTTAGCAGCATCCCGTGCCATGAGAAAGCTTTTGCATGGGAGAGACCTACTTGGAGAATTCAAACCTAAGAATAGACAACCTCACGGAAACAAGAAAAAACACAACCCCCGTCCGAAACATTCCAGGAGACACAGTGTGAGCAATGCCGAACCCTGCATATTCCATCATATTCCATCATATTCCATCATATTCCATCATATTCCAATATCCAAACAATCGCAGGGCTGGGAACATTGGTTTCTGTAAAGCCATGTTTCGCAATGCGATACTATTGTGCACGTCTGCAGCCCCTGATATCATCTTCCTTTGTTTGGTGGCTGGCTTGGTGATTTGGAGGTTCCGGGGTTGGCGTCCCCGTTTGCCCTCTACAAGAAGGGGTTCAAAATCCCAAACCCGCCAATCCAAGCCGCCAACTAGGGGTTCATTGATACCCGGTGCCAAGCCAAACCTGCTTGTTTTCTCAGGCTTTCTTTTCTGGCAGGTTGTTGGAAACCTCCATTTTGCTCGTTTGCTCGTTTGGACAGCGGGAAAACATGGCCATCCCCTCTCGTTTGCCCGTCCCGTAAACGCTTTGGGCTTTGGGTCCTCCAAGACCTCTAGGCCCACGAAGGTGTCCAGCTGCATAGCGCTGCAGTTGTCCAAATCCTTGTCAGCCAAGTCGTCCACCTGACTGGGCCGAAAGCCAATGGAGTTTACCACTTCGGTTTTTAAAGAACAGGCTGAGACACGCCCAGTTTCCCTACACAGCCATTTCACAACAGAAACTCATTTTGTTTCAGAGACGCACCCTTCGAGTCGCCAAACGCCGGCAATGTTGAGCCTTCCGAAAAGAGGCATATTGGGGTTCTGCAACCTACAGAAGATCCAAAACCTGAAGAAAGAATGGGATCCCGAGTAAGGGCCTTCATCACCGTGAGCTCGTTTACCACCCAAACGCCGGCAATGTTGAGCCTTCCGAAAAGAGGCATATTGGGGTTCTGCAACCTACAGAAGATCCAAAACCTGAAGAAAGAATGGGATCCCGAGTCAGGGCCTTCATCACCGTGAGCTCGTTTACCACCAGATGAGCTCGCCATGCAATGAAAGACACATATGTGTACCCACGGCAATGTTGGATCCCTTTTCCCCAAAAGGGTTGATATCAGGGGGCATTTCCGGGTGAATCCAATGCAGCCTTTGACAGGAAAACCTGGGGACTAATGCAATCTGACGTTACTCTAACCAAATGGGCAACGGGAGCCCAGGTAAAGTTGGGTTACAAGAAAATCCTTGGGTCAACGAGTGGCATTTCGAACTCGGAATCAACAATGCTCATGATGTGCAGCGACTGCACGACTCGGCGCTTGCTAAAAGGGAATCAATATTAACTTGAAAGGGTTGTGGGTACTTGAATCCAAACTCATATTTGGGTCATGTCGATGAGAGCATGAGTGAAACTAGTTGGCCTCTATTACATTCTAACTGTGTCTATGACGTCGCATGCAATTTCCTGGTGCTCCAAACACTGTTAAGATAAAGAGTTAGCCCCCGAACAGGAAGACCGAAATACAGAAGACCAAGTGTCCACCCTTGTGTTTTGTTCGCTGTTTTAAGGTTCGGAGCTACCCTGACTTTGCTGTAGCTCTAGTGGGGGGCATGGAGAACCAGGGGGTTGGGGTTGGAACGTCCAGGATTTGCAGGAGAACCGTGGCGTCATCGACCACCAGGCCATGGGTCAAAATCCCGTGAACATCCCAATCCCAACTAAAATAGACTAAAATGGGTGGCGCACCTACCCCAAAATGGGACCATTGGTTTCGACCCACAGCCACCATTGTATTTACGAAGCTGAGCCCTAGTCAAAAAGAAAGGCGCTCCGATCCAAAGGCCAAAGGCGCGCCTGCAGGGGGTTGTCGGTGTAGGGGGACCCGTGGCGCACTTTCAGGATGTGCTCCCACCAGTCCTGGCCGCGCCCACGTCCGCCATCCCACCACTGGCTTGTGAACACATGGGTGTGGCTCAAAATTAAACAGGGAAGGTTACGCAGGTTTTGGTCCATGTTTCCACTAACCAGGGTTGCATTTTGGGCACCCGTTTTTGGAGCCACAGGCACATGAAAAAATGTTCGAAGCATCCAAGACAAAAGGGAACTCCTAGAAACATTCTTGGAGGGGACAATTCTAGGGGTTCCTTTGATGCGGGAGACACACGGCAAACGCTGCATCCAACTCCCTGTGCGATTCTAAAACTTGACCACCAGAAACCAGAATGGAACTCTCAGAAGCAAAGTCGCAACCGAGTGACTTAATGTACATGTTCAACCCTAAACTATAGATCGTACTGATCCTACTTAAAGGCTAAGCGGTTTGTCAGCCTGGTCAGAACCCACTTACCATGGTTGTAAGTCTCCTAAGTGGGTTATAATCAGGCTGGCTAATCACTTACAGAGTACCCTGCCCCTTTAAGTACAGGAACTCAGTACTACCACCCCCATTTTAGCCAGCCAGCCGGGGAAAGAGCCAAACAAGGTCAGGCACGATCATGTTTTAGCCACTTCACTCACTTCCCTACCAGTTTCTGTTTCAATTTGAGCTTGCCATAGTTTCGGAGCAAGGCATGCAGCATTTTAAGCCCTTTCACATTCCACCTAAAATCTAAAATCCCGAGGATGGACCGAGCCGGAAATGAAGCCCTGCTTTTCCTTTCTTTTGGGGGGAGACAAAGCACCCACCAACTGAATCACACACCAACTGAATCACACACCAACTGGTGAACATCGAGAGGATTCATGCATATGAATCCCGGGGCGAAGCACCCACCGACTGGTGCGTTTTTGTGACCTGACTGTCCACCGACCTGGCGCTTCGGCTGTCCTGCGTGTTGTCCATGACCTGGCGCATGAGGTCCACACCTGCGCATGCGCACGCGCGAGGGACATAAATCTCAGCAAATACGCAAATACGGAAATTAATATACATCTAAATAATTTTCAGTATATACGTTTGTACAGATATATATCCACTGACATGTGTGTATCGACGCAGTTTGGGTCCATGAGCTTCAGAAATATATCGGGCGGCCCTTGGCTAACTCAACCCCACAAACGAAGGTCCAAAGAGCAGGAGACACGCCAAATACAGCCAAATGAGGCCCAACCTTCGAGAGGGGAGGGGGGTCTTGGTTTTTGCGTGAATATTGGAAGCGGGGAGCATGGTTGTGGAACAAAAACCGTTCTGTGATACCGAGTCCCGGCATTGCCTCTGGCAAAGTATCCCTTGGCATCATAGAAATGAATCCTACAAACCAAGCTTTCCGCAACTATGAAGCTGCAAACAACAAGTCAAGAGTAACCGTGGCCACCCCCGATTGGATCCTAAAACACGACATTCAACCATGGGACGGGGTGCCACTTGCACCCGAACCGAAGGCACCTTCAAAGATGTCCTTCTCCATGTCGTCGGACAAAACCACCTCGGCTGCTTGGTGTGCCCCCAAAAACGGTGACAAAGCTACCATCAACGTCTTCCTTACGACAAAAAGCAGGGAAGGGGACTAGAACACATAAGCAAACGGGGTTGTCTCAGAATAGTGAAACCCAATAAAATGCCGGTTTCCTTTGGGGAAAAACAAGGCAAGCAGCGTACCTTCAAACCAGGGGGTACCATACCCCAGAAAGACAGCAACAATTGCAGCTGTCATCACAGCCTGACCCACAAGGAAGAAGAATAGAACAACGACAAAAACACATGTCACCATGCCCGCACCCCACACAAAGCCGAAACACAAAGGACAGTCAACACGGCAAACAGCAAATGCCACCACGTTCTTCAAGTACAAATCGCAAGGCGCAAATATCGATATGCACAATAGACCCCCCACAAACACACATATATATATATATATACTTATTATAAATATAGTATTTTGCACGAGCAAATTTGATACGGACACATAACCGCATATGACAGGAACCATACGTGCGAGAAACATAATCTGACCATGTGTGCTTGCACGAATGCAGGTATTGTAATGTAATGCGGTGTCGTTCACTGCAATGCAATACAACTGCATGCCCATTTTTGCACATGTGTATTTATAAAGAGTATGTGTATGGCATCTGCAAAGCCAAACGCAAAGACATACATACAGCCAGCCGTTACCTCAGGATCTCGGTCAAGGCGCCGCATCTGTTTCGCTGCCCCCCAAGGGACGATCGAAGCCGCCGATGGTGTCCTTCTGGGAGAGCGGGTCGGCAAGCTCCACGAAGGCAATGACCTGAGATACTTTTGCATGTGCGAAAAATAAAGATCTGGGGTTGCGCAGGCTTTAGTCTTTGGTTCCATTTCCCAAGCTGCAACTTGGGGTGCTTGTTTTTGAGCAACAGCCGTGTGTCCTTACAAAAGCAAAAAAACTGGTAAGTGTCTTATTAAACCTACATCCTGTCGAGTGGATTGGCCAAAGAAAGTCCAAACGTTTGTTTACCACCAAAGTGGTCTCCCCCCCCCCCCCCCCGCAAAATAATAATAATAATAATAAAAACAATCAGGAACCCTGGATTTGAGTTGAGGCTCCAGAAATAAGAAAACACCACCAGTTTGGTGATACCCTATTGTAAGACAGACAGACCCTGGTAGCTCCATGCTGGCACTGTAGCTCCGAGAGGCTCCCTCTTTAAAAGCAAATTTGGATACCCCCTCCGTAGCGGCTCCCTTCCAATCACCAAGTTTACTAGAACTGGGTTTTTAATTCTACGGGTCAAAAAATGGGAACTCCGACTTGGGAAGGAAACACTTGGAGGGCTTGGGCGAATTGCGCCTTGACTGGCGCTTAATGCTTGAACAAGAATCAGGAAGCAAGGGAAGCAAGGTGCCATGTTTGTAAAAGTTTCAACACCCAGCCCTCCCGTGGATTCTGCCTCTGCAAGGGATGCAGGCAATACGTACGCCCAGCTACTAGCTGCCCCAGCGACCTTGGGATAGACATAAGGTAACCTATGCCGCATGCCCTCAAAATAATTTGCAAAGTTGTTCATTCCAACGAACAATCCCAAAGGGCTCTCAGGCTGGGGTTGCCTTTTACCCCAGGTCCGCAAGCATGGGGTTGCCTCTTAACCCCACTCTGTTCTGATCAAAGTGGATCCGGCGTGCAAGTCGAGGCTTGCTTCAAAAGTAAGAAGGAAGACCATACATCCGGCTCCGTGAGGCACCCCTCAGGCAAGTAAAAGCGGCGCCCCCTTAGGGTTTTCAGGCTGCATCTTCTTAGGGCAAACGCTTTTGGCTGAGACTCTTCGGAAAGCCAATCCTTGCTTTAGGGCCCCCTGCGAGGGCCAACGAAACGTCTCACAGCTGCTTGCCGCCGCGTCTCGGTTTTGCCCTTGCCTCCCGCACCGCCGCAGTCTCGGACCACCAGCTTCTTCACCTCGCAATCCGAGCCCAACAAGTCCACCGCTGGGTAAAAGATATAAATGAGGAAACAAAGCAAACACAGTAATAATAAGAAAATAATAATAATAATAAAGCCTCGCGCTGCAAACAAACGTGCAAACATGTATTCATGTTTGCTTCTGTGTGCGTATCTATCTAGTTGTTGCTTCATGGTTGTAGTTGTTCATCTATTTTCATGTATGTGTTGTTTTGAACAAACATGCACTTTATAAGCCCGGCAACCTCCGTTTCCTTCATGCGCATCATGGGCTCTGGCTTGTCCACAACCGCCTTGTCATGCTCCAGCGCCAAACACCTCGGAGGCCGTTTCCTCCTCAAAGCAGATTAAAACTACCCAAAGGATCTGCACTATTTTGAGAAACCCCCTCAAATGGAAACCCCTCAAATGGACGGGGGGGTTGGTTTCGAGAGATTGAACTGCTTTCGCTTTCCTTGCTTGAGATTAGCAGGTTGGATTGCTTTTGTGACGCAGCAGTCCGAGTTAAAGCCTACCTTGCGGGAGTCGTGTGGGTTTGTGGCAAGGGTGTGTGTGTGTGTGTTTTTGTTCAGGGCACGCCTCTCGAGGGTCGCTTTAAAGGGAAATGGACAAACCACCATTCTAGGGGTCCTGCTAGTTTGGCACATACCCATGTGTGGTCGCTTTTGTGGACTCGGCATGTGGGAGGAAACAGAACATCTGGGCAAATGCAGTGCCGGGAGGATTTCCTGTTTCCATTTGTCGGTCTGTTCCCTTCATTTGTTATTGGGAGGGGGGTGCCGAAGTCTGGTTTGGGGCGGACACAAATCCATGGAACTGTGCTTTTTCGAACCCTCGGAACAAATGAGAGAGTCAACGCGGAAGTGGGCCAGCAGGTGGCAAGGCATATCTGGTTTTGTATCTTGATTGGAGACGGATCCTTGTGGTAGACACCACTATTTACGTGGCAAATCATGTCCACCGAGCACGTATTTATTCGCTTTGTGTGGGCATTAGCCACACAAACTCCGAACTGTTTGTTTACCGCCAAATTGGTCTTCCCAAAAAGCGAAAAAAGCACAGAAACTGGTTGGATTTGACTTAACAAGTAGTCCTCCCATCACTTTCCAAAGTTAAAATATGCTCAAGAAGTACCTACCCATTCCATTTCCCGCAACTCGAGTTGAGCTTTCCAACAGTCCCGTTCCAACCTGCAAATCCTCAAGCAATATGCAATTCAACCTGACTGACATAAGCATTTCCAATCTGCAATGCCTTTGACTTTTCAACCCCCGGTATGGTAGCAGCAAACCCTGCTAAACGTGAACAGAACCAAACAACAAAAACCGTGCCAACAACAGTGACATTGAAATAACCCCTAAACATCACATAAAGACCATGGCGTTCGCTCGCTGTATCCTGGATCGGTGGAACCGCTCGAACCCCCATCTTGCGCGCGGCTTTTTTGGGGACCCTCAAACTGTGGCTGTCCTTTCGGTTTCCCTGCAAAAACCAACAAAAAAAGGAAGTTACCCTCAAAAAAAGAGTTGCCCTCAGACGGATCTTCTCAAGGCGCCCGTCGGTGTTGTCCCCCCAGGCATAGACCTTGCCGTGGCTGGTCAGCGCGTAGCTCATGTTTTCCAAGGCCAAGACCTGTGTGACCGTGTAGGGCCGCAGCTCCTAAGCTTGGAGATGGAAAAGTTGGGCACGCAGCTTCTTTATTTTGGGCTCTTCCGAGCGTCCGGACCAAGGAATACCAAGGGGAAACCACCCAGGAGGAGAAGGCTGTTCAAACATGTTTGTCCGTGTGACCGAAAGGTGCATTAACAAATGTCAGATATCTGGTGGCGGTTGCTGGTTGTTGGATGATGCTCCATGTGTGTTGCTTCTTGGTTGTCCCTTTATTGGCTTCTGGTTCTGTGTTTGCTTTTGGTTGATTGACCCCATCATCAGTCCCAAAAAACACCAAACAAAATAATCCTAAAGATGTAGTGCCATTAGATGTGCAACTGACAGAAAGCAATGATAAACATACCCTCCCTTCCACTAACATTGCTTCTGACAGAGGGCCCCTTGCAGAGTAGATTGATCTTCCAAATACCCTCCCGCAGGTGCCACAATTTGCCAAAGGAAAGCCTCCTGAAGCGGACTTTCCAACCGACCATACTTCAAACTGAAACCCGCAGTCTGGGTTTGACATATCGGATATGCGGGATATGACTCACTTGTGTATTGGGAACCCAGCTGATGCATGAAACCATTGATCTTGATGTGTCGAGCACGTGTCCGAGGGAATCCAAATTAGATTTGCAGCCCTCGATGGATTCGCCAGGCGTAGGAACTCCCAGTTGATGGACCGGGGGGTGTCCCTGCTTACAAGGATCCCTCACTTCTCGAGGAAACACCCACACACACTCGTACCCTTGGTGCTTCGAACCCTGAATGATGCATGTGTTCATGTGTATATGTATCTATAAACATGGAACAAAGAAGTTGCCTCACTGGAGTCTGGACGTGTATCCCCCAAGTTCGAACGCTGTTCTTCTTGGTCAAGGTTCATAATTTCTTTGCCCGGGGCTACCAATTTCTCCGAAGCCAGGCAGGACATCCCATTCAAATACAGCCTTTCCTATTAAATTGTTAAAACTAACCCGGGTACCCTCCCCAAAAAAAGCTATTTGTGTGTGTGTGTGTGTGTCTGGGACCCCCCCCCAAAAAAAAAAAACGAGCCCTTGACAGGGCTCTGAAGCGACTCCACTACCAGTTTAGTTCAGGGCACAAATGCTTCCGATGGTCCCAAGCATTGACTCACTTTTGGCCCAGCCAAAAAAACAAAACAAAAAAAACGGAGAGGCCCGCTCCTCTACGGCAACGGGCTCGTATCTGTTCCTCGGCGAGTGCCGGAGCCGGCTCAAATCAACTGGTAAGCGCCTTCAGAATTAGAATAGGGTTTCCTTCCTGAACTCGCAACTGGCTCCAAGTTTGATACGGTTTGGAGTCAAACCAAATGTAGTCACGATTACGGGAGCACAATGGTTTGTAGTTCCAGTCTGCCACAACATGTGGGATAGGTGCAAACATCATCAAGCCGGAAAGGCCCAATTTTTTAGGAGTTAAACCACGGCTTGGCAAACTATTCAGCACCAATTCGAGCGGGAGGGTTCCCATTTTCCAGACCCCGATTCCATTAGTTAAGGGGTAGGGATATTCCAAGCATTATTCCCAGAAAAGATTGACTGGGTTGCCACAATGGAACTTCCAAGGGGTACCAAAACAGTCTTAAAAGCGCACATCGTAGGTGTGGCTTACCTGAAAAGGGGCAAATGCCAGCAGCGATTTAGCCCCCCCTCCCTCCCCAGCTGCCCGATGTCTGGAGAAGAAAAAGAGATCTGGAACCTCTTTTTTGGGTCGATTGCTTTTTCAGTGCGCAGCTTACCCACCCAAAGCAACTTTGAAGGGTGGAAGTCACGGAACAACCAGGGCAAAATTCCACTAAGCGAACTCAAACTCAACAAACCGACAATGCCCAATGGCCTAGATTTTTATGGGCTACCCCCCGTGAAAGAAACAAATGCAAGGACTTCTTGCTGACTTGCGGAGTCCTCTGGCCGTGCGCTTGAACTTTTCGGCCCGAATTGGAGACACCTTCCGCAAAGTTCAAAGTTGGAATGGGGGCGGTTCATACGCATCATGACAGAACTTGAGAGAGAACCAGGACCGAAAGCTGGCACTGATTGCCCAAAGGGCAGCTCTCGGGAGAATGTGTGTGGATATGCAGCCCCTTGTCTTGGCCCACCCGCAAAATACACTCAAACCAGATCTTCCGTCGCGCATTTATACACAAAACATTCTCTTCGGATTCTGTGGCGAAGTTTTGACGTCCAAATGAAATATGGCCATAGGTCAAAATCCAAATCGTACCCCCAGTGGACATCCCGATCCCCACTAAATTAGGTTCTAAAATGGGCACCACAGCCCATGACCTTTAACGGCCTCCCATCTCAACTCCCCCCAAAAACGGGTACCCAAAAAAGCAAAAAGGGGAACTAATTCTGGGAAAGAAATATAGCCATTTCCCCCCCCCCCACACCCCCATTTTCCCGCCATGCGGATCCCATCCAACGGGCAACGTGTATCTTTTAAGGAGCCCTGTTAACATATGGTAGAAGACCGGTTGATCATTTTCACTGGGCGTCTGCTGGTCGCTGAGCCCCAGCTGGCCCCGGCTGTTGTCGCCCCAGGCATAGAGCTTGCCCGTGCTGGTCAGTGCCAACCTGGTGGCAGGCTGGTGGCTGGTGGCTGGAGGCGGGTTGTTTTGGAAGCAAACAAAAACGAACGAGCTGCGTTGTATTGAGATTTTCCTTTTTGGGGTTGGACTAAAGGGAAACCAAATGGAAGCCACGACTCTTAAAGTTTAGGGTGTCTTTCCCCTTTGCCTTTCTTTCGAGGAAAGCCACAGCCAAAAGCCAAACCAACCTTTGGGGTCCCCTTGAGAGAAACCCTCTCGGCTGATATCCACACACCCAACTGTCTCCCAACTTAGGGTTTGGTTATCTGACATGCAGGAACAAAAGACACCTTGTGATTTGGATGTGGGTGACTCACATTCAATGATTGAGTAAAAATTGCCGTGTCCCAGCAGGTGGGAACCGGGAACCCTCTTGCCCACGGCTTCAAGCCGCCCTGACCTTCAGCTTCCGTCCCTTAAAAAAAGGCACATGGGTATTCAGGAGTCGGAGAGTGGATTGCCCCAACAAAAGTCAAGCTTCTTGATGGCCACCCCCCCCCCAAAAAAAAAGAAGGCCAAACCACATAAAACGGCGAGGTCCATGAAGCTCAAGGTACCCTCCCACCAACCAACATGCAAGTGCAAGAAGGGCCCTTTAACCAAGAGGAAAGTAGTCTTTCTACAGGGATCTGTGCACAAACCCATGGAATCGCTGGGAGGGTAGCTTACCCCGAGCTCTGGGGAAGTTAATCTTTTACAGACACAGAGCCCATGTTACCCAACAAGACTGAGCAGGTCTTCTCTCCTTCTCATCCATAGGTAAGGTAGGCAACGACGGGATCCAAGGAGCACGTGGTGCTTCCCGTACTGCACGTCCACGATCTTGCCCTCGAAGCCGGAGGGGAAGATCACCCTGAGCTTCTCCCACGCCGCATTTGCTTCCGCCCAACAAAAAAAACGGCGGATCCAAACGTGGCAAGCCGGCCATGTGTCTCACTTGCTGAGTGGATGGCCCAAAAAAAGTCTAAAAGCTATGTGTACCACTAAAATGGTCTTCCCAAAAAGTTTAAAGTTCATGAACTCAGGAAGTGAGTAAAGGGAAGCCACCACTCTGTTTTTGTGGTCCCCCGGTTTTTCACGCACTTGCAGTCCTAAAAAAAAGGCGAAGGACACAGTACCAGCTATGTTTTATGGGGGCCTGGAAGTTAGCCAAGCCCTTTGGTGGGCATGGCATTTCCTGGTCTTCACCTAAAATCTAAACCGGGTGCGGGGTCTGGAGAATAACCAAGCTTTGGTTTGATTCCTTTTGTGGTTCGTCGGTGCTTTAAGGTTCAAGACTAACGGAAACCGGCTTCCAATTTTCGCCCTTGTGGTTTGATCACCGGTCCGAGTTCTTAAAAAAGGCACAGGACTTAGCAAGTGGTTAGTAAGCCTGGTTGTGACCCACTTGCCGTGGTTATAAGTCTCCGTTGAGTGGGTTATAGCCAGGCTTACTAGCCACTCACTAAATACCCTGCCCCTCTCCAAGGTGAGTTCCTAAACCCCATGGTGCAGGTCGGTTGCGCAATCCATTCGCGGCCAAGGCACCCAGTCAGCTGCTCTCTCTTGGCAGCTTGGATTGGTGGTTTGGAGGCGACTTTTTTTGGGGGGGTGTCCCATCTGCCATCTACAAGAACGGGATCAAAACGGGATCAAAACCAAATCTAAACTACCTATCACACCAGATCAATGGATTCAACAAGAAACATAGTTGGGCTCCTACACAGCCTAAGGGCTGGTTGCAACAACATTGAATCCCTGTCGAAAATAGCCGCGAGATGATGCGGGGATTTAACAAGTAAACATGTGACATATGCCTTGCTTGAAGAATACAAACGCCCCCCTGGCTGAGCCAACAACCCTGCAAATAGAATGTGGTTCCTCTTTTCCCGCCTTCCCCGATAATAATTGAATCGATTGTTTCGGGCCCAGCCAGCTTTTTAGTCGAAGTGAACTTGCAAAAAGCGGTCGCTTTCGCTCCAGGGTTCGTCCAAGGAGACATCCAAAACCCTGGATGTGGATGCTTTGAATCTGGTAAAAGCGAGATTTCAAGTGAGCACATTGACTTTGGGCTCTAGGATGGTTGGAAGGGCTTATACAGGCTTCGTTTTTTTTTTTTTAGGTGCTCTTTTTTTTGGGGGGGGGGGGGGGCCTGGCTTGCAGAAGAGCGTCTTCTTGGGATCCTGCACGTTCACCTGCTCGGTGCCCAAACCGAGGCAACCCACTTTGTCCTCGCCCCAGGAGACCAGGTGCCCGTCCTCCTTGAGTGCTATGATGAAGTTCTGGCCAATGACGATGTCCTCGCTTTTTTTGCAGGGCGGAAGCCGTGTGTTTGGTGAACAAATCCGGTAGAGGTTTGTATGTAGTTGGTTTCTACGGGTGGGGCTTCATGAAATGAAACCCCCCCGGGTTGTCTCCAAAGAAGGCCTGCATAAGGCCTTGCTAGGGTCTGGTTTTCAGAGAATCTGGGTAAGGGGGACTTCAGACATCTTCAGACCCACATGCCACGAGTTCGCCGGGCATGTGGAAGGGGCATGGCTCGCGTGCCCCCGATGAAATACTTAGGGAATGTGGATGGGGTGGTGCGGAAACCGAGAAGGCCAGCGTAAAGGATGGGAGCTATCATGGAATCGCCTGGGGGTCCTAAATCACGAACGGCAATTCTATTGGCATCGCAGACATTCACAGACCCAGCTACCTCTGTAGCAGGGAACCAGCAATGGTTCCTTTTGGAACCTACGAAACGGGGATATGAGCTCTCCCCAAAATTAAAGGCGCAAACATGGAACATCTCCGGAGGCTTCGTTTTAAAGGGTCGCCTTCGTTTTCGCTGTCGTTTTACAAGGATTTGGCCCCTATTCCACCCGATCACATGTCCGCGGAGTACTTTGCGTATCCCTCATGTGGAATTACCGGGAGGAAAAGGGCCACCCCACCCCCACCCCCACCCCCACCCCCCGATTTGCCTTTTCCCTATCTCAGCACCCCCCCCCATTCCCACCCCGACACCCCTCCCATTCCCACCCCCCAGCTCAGCCAAGGGGCCCGAATCTTCCCGGGCACTTTCTGGGTGAGAAACGGGGCCTTGATCACTCGCTTGCCCCAGGTGCCCCAGAGCCAGAAGTTGTTGTCTGCCGTGCCCTGGGATCCCATCGCTCGAGTAACTCAGCTGAGATCTAGGGGTCTGGTAAGCCGGCGGCTCAGCAGGAAGCAACGTCCGGACACCGCCCTCCCCCAATTCCATGCCAGGGGAGGGGGGGGGGGGTTGTAGCCACACTGTAGCCATATCAGACATATCACCACAATTCCAGTTCAAGGGGTGGGGGTAGAATTCATCTTCTATCAGCCAGAAATGTTTGAAGTGGCTGAAATGCTAGATTCTCCTGCAACGTCCCGTGGAGAACTCGTTCATGGGTTTCAGCTCGTGGGAAGAAACAACAACTCCGAACAAGGTCATTCAAGCCAAACTTGATACAACGCGCTCGCTCGCATCCATCTCACGCCATCTGTGTCCTCGCCCCTCCGCGTTGCAGCGAGTTCTGCCTTTTTTTTCCGCCAAACTTTTGCATAGCAGTCCGGCGTTTGTGAAGCACTTGGCTGGGCTTTTTGCCAGCTGGGTGTGCAGGGTGCTCAAAGGGTTGCCAACTGGTCTTTCAAGGGTGCGGATTCCGTCCGTCTCCGCATCCGCATGCTCAGAAAAGCAGCCCTGGGCAACTGCTCCGCACACCCCGCGCAAAGGGCTGATCAAACAAAAAAACGCCGATGGTTGAACTGTTGAATGGTAAAGGTCACTTCACTTTGCAGCTCCAATTGCGAAGAATTCCATTCAAGTCTTGCTCACAACGGGAGAACTGCGCAAGGGGATCCAAAAAAACTGATCGGCTTCCAGGTTCGATCAGCCCTGGCGAGATCTTCCCTAGATCTCGTCGGCGGGCTTCTTGCTTGCCCTCGGCACATCACCACTGATCCAATCACTGATGTCCTCGTTGATGCCTCCATTCCTCGAAGCAAGCTGGAGAAAACATCCGACACCCTTCGGCCCTTGGTTAAAAACAAGGGTGGCTCTTTGTGCGGGACTCACCATGTTGATTTGTAGGGGAGTAGTTGTGGAGCAAGGGGAATGTCAAAACAGAACTTCCCTCATGAAGCCATATCAGAATTCAAGAACAAGTGTGCCCAACTGTTGCTCCATGACTCCCTGAGTAAATTCGTCAGAAAAGGAAGGAACTCGTTGTTTCGTGGCAATCCCTGATTGATAACCCCCACTTGTTATTAAAGGAGGGGTCCCCCTTTTTTGTGGGGATGCTTTCTTCTTCCAGGACGACCCCGGAGGTTTTATTCATCAGGGGTCAACAACACTCTTGACCCCATTCTAATCAACCGCCAGTTCATTACTACGGGGGTGTTCCCCTCCAAAAGTGATGATCCCCCGCTAAACCCAGGGAAAATACAGCGGTTTCGCCGGCTGAAGTGAGAGGCAACACAAACCCAGTCTCTAGTGCCTATCTCTGAACACAAAGCAGGCGTGATTCAAAGGCTTGGGTTAAAGGACATTTTCTACATGAAAACATCATATTTGCAGTGCTTTGGGGCCATTTCCTGTAGATGTTCCTGTAACCAAAGCCCTTTGAGTGATGTGTCGCCGACATAAGGCAGCCCCCCCTCCCCCCCCAATCTGCTCGTCCCCTTGAGCAAAGGCTTGACCTGCTGCAAGTTTGGTTGAATCGGAACTCGGAACGCCATTTGTTTCCACAAGCTCTACGGGGCCTTTGGACCTGTGGAACCCGCGGGGAACCCGAACCCGCGGGGAGGGGGTGCCGCAAGGGGGCCTTCCCGCCAAGCCTCTCAGCTTTCAGGTCGCACCTGGCCCGCTCAACCTGAAAGTTCCAGTGGTAGCCTAGGCTTGAAACCGGCACTCGGGGTGCCGAAGAAGAAAACAAAAACGTGCGCAGTGGATGCAAGATACCCAAAAACCGGGAGGGGTCCTTGCAAAGCAAATCCATGGTGATAAGTGGTGAGCAAACCGAAGGCATCGGCCAATGACTCGCGACCCGAAAGGTAGAAACATGTCATTGGAACCTTATGGGGGTTGACCAAAGGACCTGGAACTAAGGGCCATGACTCAATATGAACAAACAATTGGAAAACCAAAAAGGTCAAAAGGTCGGCTTGGAACAAATGAGTTATGGGTTGACCAGGTGTGATCACCAAACGGAAAGTTTCACTATCCTATGCGAATCAACCAGGTGCGAGGAATCTCCACGTGGCATCCTGAGACTTTCTTGGTACCTTCCCGCTTCCATCGCGCTCCAAACAAGTCTGCCCTCAGCTTGTGTATTCCAGTAGGTCACCTTGGGGTTGGAAGAATTGCAGGGCCAGGTGCCAAATAGGGTCGGTAAGCGTTGGATACATTGCCAATCCCTTTTTGGCATGAGTTGTGGAAACACAAAGTGGGCGATTGTTGCACCAACACTGAAAAGGCAAGGGCCCCCCTTTAATGGCACATACGGTGGATCCCCCCCCCCAAACAGATCTTGCAGGAGACCGATTTGGATCACCTCGTGGAGTTGCTGCAAAGCACTGGGGGTGGGGGGGTTCCCCGAAAAAATTCCGCTTCCCTCTTGGTGGTTTGGAGCTCGGTGGTGTCGAGGTCCGGAAAAACGACGCCCATTTACCCCACCAGCAGCGAAAAAAATCAAGTGAAAATCCAATCCGCCGGGGCCCAACGCACGAGGGCTGAAACATGGCCGACTGGGCCACGCCACACTTGGCATCCGCTTGGCAAGCCTCCGAAAGCAGATCCGGAGCCGAAGGCGCGTTTTTTTTTTCGGGGGGGGGGGGCAGTTGTCTGAATCATATGACTGTGTCTTGTTTTGGGGTACCCGGGTACCCCATATGAATTACCTACCTGTTTCGCTTCCTGGGTTTAAGCACATACCCTCTGCTTCCTGGACTATTTTTCTAAATAGGGGTTGTTCAACCCCTAGTTTTTTCATGGACAACCCCTATTTGGGGTACATTTTGGGTTGCTACTGTGTTTTATCAAAAATTACGCCTGCTATTGCAACCTGTTAAGTAGCCTTGGGAGCCACATACTTCTCTGCAAGCTAAGTAAACTAAAATGTCTTGATAGGGTCCTCGGGGCCCTTGTGTGAATGAAAATGCACCTGCTGAAAGTCTTGCGTAGACAGAGCCTTCATTCTAGCAAAGCATTGAATTTTCCTCTGCAATTACGCAGGTGGCACGAACAACAAGCAATTGTGTGCTTGTTTTTTCTGTTCCAATTTTCACACAGCTCCAAAAACAACATGAGTGTAGACAAACCGTAGAAAAACCGTGGAAACCACATGTTTTGGCGTAGAACCGCCTTTTTTTGGCGTAGAACCACTATTTGTTGGCGTGGAACGGGCAAATGTTGCAGGGGACCCAGATGATCAACATCCTCATCCTGGAATGGTTGCTGTGATGGGTAGAGATGTTGGCTGTCTCGTTCTTTTTTGGCTAAGGGGGTGGGCAGAAATTGTGAGAAGAGGGTTCACCTTCACGCGCTACATGGCAATGTTAAGAAACCAAGCAACATAGAAGCCAACATTGGCCTTGACAATTGTGAAACATCTTGCCGCATATGTATATACAAATGCGGCTTTGGGATCCCTTAGCGTCAAGTCTTTCCTAGCCCTTGTTCAAGTTCAAAACGGAGGCTGCCGCTCGTCGTCAAAAAATAGTCTTTGTCAAAAAACCGGGGTTGTCACAATGTTTATTTTTTTAATAGGCTTTGGAAGCATAGGGCATAGGCGATGTGAATTAACTCACCAACCTGATGTGCGAAATTGACGCTGCTAGCAGCTCTAGGGCCTCTGCGTCAGGACTCCGCCAGGTGTCCGGGAGTTGTAATCCATTTTCCCCCAAGGGGTCGTTTATTTGGCGAGCCGCTTTTGTGGTTTTCTGGCAGTTCTGTTTGGTCACCCCCAATAGGTGTTTCAAGCACGTGGTTGTATGCTACGTGCCCTTTTTCTCCTTTGGTGCAAGCTGGGAACCTGAAGATAGGGCTTCACCCTTGGCAAATGGTCCGGTGTGGCGGCGTGGCAGGTTGCTGTGGACCCGGTAGAAAGGAGGAATCGTGATCTGTTTTGAGTGGGCACAACGGAAAGCTGGATGTAGCTTTCCGAATCCGCGATAGGAGACCACCAGGGAAACATCTACCACCTGTCAGCACCTGTCAGGCAAACTCCCATTTGGCAAGAGCAAGGATGTTGACCAACGGGGGTTACGGATACCACCCGGCCTGCGCGCAACCAACGGCCGTGTGGACACCCTCAACATCGTTCAGGTAGTCCCCGTACAGCCAAGCGCCCTTCCTCCCAGTGATGCCTGAACAGGTGCGCGCGAGTCGAAAAATCTGTCTGACCTAAGCCAAGCAAAAGAGTCCTTTGAGCGTGAGGGGTTTGGGACTCGGGGGTATTGATGGAAAATTGTCAATCCCGGGGACACAAAAGAAAGGGTTTCTCTTTGCAGGGATCCAGGGAAAGTTGCAACGCCAACGGGTCTCTGCGCGCCTGTGCGGGTCATGGATCTTTTATGGGAATCTGTGTGTCTGCGTCTGGTTAGAGAACCATTTCGCTTGTCTTTCAACCGCCCTTCCCGCTTCCCGACGAGGCATGCTTCCTTCCTAATTGAATATACGCCCTGCACCCGCCTGCAGAAGCCAAGGTGGACAAGTACTGTTGACCTCGGGCTGTCCGCTGCCCGCCCACCCCCCACCCCAAAACTAACAAACAAAAGTCACGACACGAATGCAGGCATAGTATATTGCAATGGAAAACCACAAGCCCAGCAGGGCTTGCTCTCCAAAGAAGGAATTCCCAAAAGGACCCTTGCTGACTTTCCTTTCATTTTCCTTTGCATAAACCTCAACAGGCACCCTCAACGCACCAAACACACCCAAGACGAGTGGAGAAAAGGGGCTGGGAGATAAGCGCCAACGAGCGCGTGAGCGGGAAGAAGAAACAGCAAGAAAGGCAAACTGCCGTTTGTAGCTTGTTGCAAGAACTATAGCTCAAACATCCTCAGATTACAGCTCCTTGAAAACGGGGCCCATCGCCTGCCCAATTCCAAGAGGCTGTCTCCCAAGGATCTCCTCCTATAGCTGTGGGAAGCTTTTTGACCGGAAGCGTCCAAGATGCAAAACCGAAAGAACATCCAGCTGGAAGTTGAGTTGTTCATGAGCTCGCAGGAATCCGGGACGAAGAGGGAAAGGTCAAGGCCGTTCCGGCTGCAAGCCCGGCTCTCCTTGCCCTGCCTAGTGACCCGAAAGGTAGAAAGAGAGAGAGAGAGAAGAAGAAGAAGAAGAAGAAGAAGAAGAAGAAGAAGAAGAACAAGAAGAAGAAGAAGAAGAAGAAGCAAAAAGCCTGGTCTTGTGCCAGGACCATGTTCAGCCGGGAAACCAAAAAAAGAAATCTGTCACTGAACAACTGGATGGCGCTGACTCAAACTGCTCCTCTGCTGACCCTTTTGGATCCTATAGGCCAAGTGGCGATGGGCTGCAATCAGCTCGTCTCCTGGCAAGTGACGGATCCATTCCAATCAGAACAAGAAACGCTTGCCAGGCGGCTTCGCATGGAACAACAAGTTTGTCCCTTGGTGTTGGCCCTTTCGTGTTGGCCGTTTCGTGTTGGCCCTTCTCGTGCCAACCAAGCACACACCACTCGGCAACTGGAAGACACACGTCGATCCCAAGGGTTTGAGCCACATGCGGCTTTCTGTGGACATCGAAAAGTATGTGTCGCTGCGCATTTTTGAGGGTGCACGGCTTTCAAGGCAACCGAAAGGAAACCGGCCCCATGGTGTTGTTGGAGCTGCCACACTGTCACAAAAACACGCGCACACACACACACACCATGAACAGGTGAGGGCTGCCAATTCCGCAGGGTCGAACACCCCATGCCAAATCCCGCTTTCAAGGTTCCGGATGGTTCTCTTAGAGCGACCAGGTAAACCGACCCGACGCCAACTCACCCGCCTGTCAGCTCCGGGGTCGAAGACAACACACGCGGCGCCGGGATGGGCTCCGGAGGTGGAGTGGGCACAGGAGTCTCCACGGTCTCCTGAAATGAGCGTACATAAATGTACTCGCAGGGAATAAGAAATGGAATGACACCCTGGGTCATTCTTCACCGAGCACCAGCAAGCAAGAAAGGGCCAAATCATTACGCACATCCCTTGTGAATAAGCCCAGGTCAGCCACGGAACCCTCTGGAACCGCCCCATATCTTATGTTTCAACATGCCGAGCCATCGATTTGAACACTTACCAAACCATGCTGCTTGAAGCTTTGAGCATGTGATCCCGCCCAATTCCTTAGGCGAATGCCAACTCTTGCAACCCCCTTAACCTGAAAATAGTGTTCCTTAAAGGTTGCCCTGGCACCAGTCAACATGGAAGCTGACAGGGGGTCCCTTTCAAAGGAACAGGGTCTTCCAGGACTCTGTCAAGGTCCACGTTAAAGCTGATGGGTACATCCAAAAACCATCTAAGGGGATTCTCCAACTCCCCGCTGGTCAAGGGCCCTGAATTGGCTCATCTTTGTATTTCGTTGAGGGGCGCTCCTGACCCAATGCCGCCATCACCATGAAGGGCACAAAGGACAGCCTCGTGTAGGCACCAGCGCCAGTACGAGAAGAGAAGCCCATGTGTGTGCGTGTGTGTGTGTTGTTTGTGGATAGCATTTCCGGAATGGTTTGGGAAACGCAAAAAGGCAAACCGCCATTTGGGCTGGGGGGGGTCATCCACGGTGGGTCCAAAACATAGCAACTTGAAACCACACAGATCAATAGGTCGCCTGACGTTGACCCAATCCATAGCTTGTAACCCTTCAGCCTGGCCTGCCTGTCTGCCCTCGTCACATGGCCATGGTCACATGCTGAATGCGGGCGCTACATTGGCAGTGATGAAGTGCCACCGATCTATTCTCTCGCGCTTTCCTTGCTGGGCTATGATACTTCCAGGTTGCGTTGCGCCCATGATCCTCCCAAAGCCTCTATGCCAGCTAAACACTTTGTTCTTTGCAGGAACGCGCTCAACATGAACACCAAGCAGGCAAGGCAACAGTTACGATATACAAGACTCGTGTTTTACAGGCTGAAGGGCACCCGGCAAGAGGCACCCGCAGGCCTCAAGTTGCATATCCCATTACCTGCCGGTTGTGTTTGCTTGGGAAATCCCCTACAAGCCCCCACCAACCACCGGTTCATTCCCAACACCTGGAAGGGTAATTCCCTACTGAGAACCAGCAAGCTTTAGTCATTGGTGTCAGGCATTGCCAGTGCTCACAATCCATGCTTCTTTGCTCGCTACATGCAACTTAACGGCATATCAACGAGGTACTTCATGAAGTTAAACAACGCTTTTGGGCCCTACTACTCTGACAGGGAACGCTCTGCACAGCTCTGAAAGAAACACCAAATTGCCCTGGATACCCTCTTTGGAAGAAAACGCCAAACAAGCGGCGCCCAAAACCCATTGACCTTGGGTTCTACCAACATGGTCAGAAAGGATTTGCGTCGGCCTTACGAAAGCCCCCTGCTGAAATTGCCAACGTGCACTGCTTAAATGACACCAGTTTAGGCTGAAGCCAATACCGTCTGACCCATAGACAAGTTGGTTTGCCCGTGGCTTTTGTGGAGCATTCTGGTGGCTCCCCTTCTTGCATTCCCCAAAATTGGTCTGTCTTTTTTGGGGGACCCACCAAAATTGTGGGTTTCCGTTGGTTCCTCTTGGAAACAAAACAGAAAAAGGGTTCCACACATCCAAATAACAGTAGGCTATCGAAATTTCTCAGTTGCTCACCTGACTTCAACCGAACTGACCTGAACGGACACGCAATTGCAGCTAGCAGCATTTGCATTTCCACGGAATGCACAATGGGGCACGGGAGGTTCGAGCCAAGGATGCTTGCAGCCGAGCATTGAATGTGTTTTTGGAGCCGCCCGTTTTGTTGCTGATTGAAATCGGGCAACTAAGACCATTTTGGTGGTTTCCACTACTGACTCAGAGCCACAGCAAAGGGGGCCACAGGAAGGATATGGCCCTTCTCACCAATGGCCCCCAGAAGTCACTATTGGTCACCGATAGCCACCATTTGGTTGCAATTGATCCCCTTGCAACACCTTTGAACTAAGCCCAGGAAAAGCAAACACACGCGTAGCCTTGGCTTGCAAGCGGGACGACAGATCCCTTGGGTCACGAACACGCCTCCATTCTGCCTGGTGATAGAGTCAAGCGCATCATAGGCCGGCTTGTAGCCAGTTGTGCATTATACCCTGGTGGGGTCCCTTGGGAAACCGCTTGTTTGGGTTTTCCAAAATTTCTGCTCGCGGGACATTGGGGGGCGGCGTGGCCCCCAATCTAACAGCTGTAACCCCAATACTTGTTTGTTTGTTTGCCCGGCACACTGCCAGTCAAGCGTTGTCCCAGTATGCATTCATGTGCATCTATATGTATATGTGCGGTTGATGGCGGTTGCACTGTGTACATTTCTGGAGACATGTGGGTGTTGTAACTGTCTGTGTAAATGGGTAAGACATATGTGCGTATGTGTGCTCGCGGTGGGCATCAGGGAGCATCCACCCTACACCAGCTGCAAGCTCAGGTGGTTGCCGTAGCGCGCTGGACGACCCGCGGCTAGCAGCAGTGATGGCACCCGAAGCAAACCAAATTTAAAGTCATGATCACAAGCGCATCATGTGTGTCATTGCTTGCCGCCTCACAGCAAACCTTGCAAACAACAACGGACCTTGGGTTTTGCCCCTGACCACTAAAGTGCATGAAAGGATCTCAGACAAACCACGGCACGTGGCTCAAGAAGTGGCTGCTTAGACAGACATGGGACAGCCCAAGGGTCCACGACTATCCCCACCTCAAGTTTAAAGCTAGTTTTTGACCGTGGCTCATGTATGAGTTTCCTGGTTGCTTACGACCTGCTTGGCGCTAGTGGGTTTTTCGCGAAAAGAAAATGGGAACCCCTTCAATACGCACGCTCTTCGTCAAGGACGCCTTCCGTCTTCTTCTGGGGTCTCCGTCAAATTTGGTCCAGGAGTCCTACCTTTGAAATCCTGCTTGCGCCAAAAGCCAACATAGATTCTGCTCCAAGTTCCAAGTTTCGAAACAAGCCAATAGAGGTCCCTGGAGTCGAGGGCATGCCTCCATGAGGCAGGCTGAAAAGGCACACCCCCGGCCGCCGTCTTGTGCTGTCGAAGCAAGGGCCAGTCTCTGCACCGGCACATTGCTCGGCCATGACGAGCCGTCTAGCCGGCGGAATAGCCTCACTTGCCGGCGGAATAGCCTCACTTGCCCCCAAAGCCCGCTGCTTGCTGCCAAAAAAGCATAAAGAACGAAACAAACGAAGGACGCCCAGAAAGTCTAACCACGGAAAACTAAAAGACCCCTGCAAACCCACGACGTGAAACTCATGAAGGGTCACCGCGCAATATCAGCATGCGCGTTCGAGGTTCCGTGCCAACACAACCCATAGGCCTACAGGGAAGGAAAACAGTGTCCATTGCTAGATGAGCACCTACGCCAAAACCAGAAAAGCACAGGAGGGTCAACAACTAGCGCCCCGGACCAACCTGTCCCTTGAAAACGGACCACTCTGGGAAGAATCATGTGGGCCAACTATGAATGTAGGATTTGGAAGCTATGCCAAGCTCCCGCAAGGATTGACAAAACTTGGCCACGACATCTTGAGTACCCTAAACAAGCATTTTCTGATCCTATTTCATGTTTAGTCCACCTTTTGTCCATATCCTAAATTAGAAAATGGTTTCGGAGGAGGCCCCCCCCCGGTTCTCCCAAAAAGAAAAAACACATACACACCTAGGTCAACCAGTAGAGAGGTTAGAATAAGTTGGTACCCGATTTGTTGTAGTCTTTTTTAGTAGGGGAACCCTCCCCAAAAAAGGGGACTACGGGGGCACCTAGATACAAACAGAACCCGATCCGAGTCGCCGTTTTGGCCCAGGCGTTTGATGATGACCTCCTGCGGCATCCACACGTCGAAGCCCACCCGGACCATCCAAGCCGCGACCGCGGTAGGCGGAGTGCCCGGAGGGACCTGCTTGTCTAAAAAAAATCAGGAGCCTATGACGGCTGCCCCAAGTGGACCATGGCTATGTTCTGGGAAAATTGGCTTGTTTGCTGGATTTGCGAGAACTTTGGGTTGTCGTCCCATATCCGCCCCAAACTAACTGCATTACTACCAATATATTCTGAGGCCTGTTGAAGCTCCCAACATGGAAGGGGCACAAAGAGCACAAGTGCTGGCAAAGGGCGCCTATGCATGACTCCATGGATCTACGCATTGGCGGGTTGCAGTAGATCTCACTTGCATGCCAGCAGACACATCTGCAAACATGCAAATAACCCATACAAAAGCTCGATCAACTTGAGAGTCCCAAACACAAAAGCATTTGAAAAACGAGCTGGCGCTTGGCGCTTGGCGCATCTTGGCGCTTGGCGCTTGACGGCGATCATGCCACCTCTCAACAGTAAATGCGTCCGGATGACCTGTACTGGCAAAAGGTCCTGCTTGTCGCACACCAGTCGAGCGCAAGCGTCAGAGGGAAATCAAAAACGGCCCAAGGTCAGTAAAGCGGAGCACACCAACCAGTGTGGTCTGTCTTTTGGTGACATGTGGCTATAAGCCTCAGCAGTCTGGCCCCGGTGCTTCACCATGATCAAAGTCACCCCCCAAAAGGTAGGTAAAGGGAAACAACATGACACAACCCCATTTTCCGACCTTGATCTTTCGCAGAAACGATGCACCCAATCACCCAATCGGAAGTAGCCCCCATCGGTTTTCCCCGGTGCGCCCCTTCGCCCGTCCCGTCGGCGACGGCCCAAACGGCCCAACTCGGCAGGCCACTCGCCTGCTCGGCGCTGCGCATGGAGCCAGCAGAGGCTTTGGCCTAGGAACTGGGCCAGGGCGCATGGAGATCTGAAGTCAGGTGAGCTGCAGCTCACTCTAACATGTAGAATAGGTTTGGAAGAGACCCCGGGCAAACCCATGTTTTCAGGTTTTCGGCCGATTTTTAGACCACCTCGAAAACAACAAACCGAATGGCAGGACACCCCACTGACACCTGTTGAGCACTTCGATGGAGACTGAAAGCAAATCTTGGCTGTAAACAAAGTCCAAGTGTAGACCCAGCCGCGGGAAACTCTTAGGCAAACAGAACAAACCTGGCTGACACCAACACGTTTGGACAAAACTGTTAAAGCCGACCCGCTGGCGCCTGATCCTTGTACTCACAGCTGCCCAAACGCCAGTACCTAGAAGCAGCTCGCGCCATCCAAGCAACAAAGCTAGGACGTGTGAGCTGACCCCTCTGAGTGAAGTTTGAAAGCAGTGTGATCTTTGAGGCCGCTCGTGGTTGGTGTGGGATTGGGGGCGTGGTGGTGGTGGTGGTGGTGGTGGTGGTGGTGGTGGTGGTGGTGGCGTAGTGGGGAGCGAAAAGCATTCGGTCAGAGCGCACACATCGCCAGCAACGTGGAATGAGTAGCTATCTATCATTGTGAACACACCTCCAGCACCGCTGGCCAACGTCAGCAGCCGTGTGGAACTCGCCAGCCAGGACCAAAAGCCGGCCAAAGGCGAATTGAAACCCAATCTATCGGCCGCTTGAGGTCAAGGATCGACAGATTGCAAACCGCGCGCTGAGAAGACGATGCTGCAGTATCATGCCCAAAAAACCTTCGAAGCCCACTGCAGGGCTTGCCTCTGCAAAGCCAATGAGCTGCCAATGGGGCCATGTGCATTGGGACGAACAAGTGGGTGAGGCAGCCCTGAAAACGCATGTCTGCTGCCACCCTAAACTGGGAGTGGGCCAAGCAAGTTCGTTCCTCTCCTACCGCCTCTGCACATTGCATGGCTTGCACTCTGCACCCAAGCCCGGGATCGGGTTCCCCATTTCGGGTTCCCCATTTTCGGGCGACATCAAGAGTAAGCATTCCCCCCCTTCGTATATTAATATGTATACACACAAATATATTGGAGTTTATATTTTGAGCTCATGACTAAGTTCCAGAATTAAGATCCAAGCCAGGAAATTCTACTGGAAATTCTTCAGCTGGTTTCATCCACAAGGTCCAACCCAGCCTTCAAGCTTCGACCTCCGATGTCCAAGGCGCTGCTCTGTGTCCCAGTAGAGGAACCGCTCGAAGGGCCCCGCGCGCAACGCGTAGACCGGCGGCGCATCCTTGCGATGCAGAGAGAAAACTTAGCCTCAATCTGGCACATGCAGACAACCATAGCTTCAAATTCTTGCTCATTTGTTCGTTCATCCTAAAAATGCGTAATCCTTTTGGAGGCCAAACGGCCATGGTTGTGGAAAATACCCATGTTTCCTCAGAAAACATCTAGCACATTTCGATTGCTCTTGCTTAGGCATTTGTTGCACGCCAAACTTGGAAAAGTGTGGGGTTGTCCACCCCTCCTCCATTCATTATTTAGCCTTTCCACAAAGGGACTTGTGAAAAGTGGAGCGTCCTTTCTTGAGGGTAGAGCTTGTCTTCCGTAGATGACTTTCTTACTTAAGTGGACACGGATGCGACTCTCCCCCCCGCCCCACCGTGACACCAAGGGAATCCCCTGGAAATGACAAGTAGCTGCAGAATGCCCACAGGTATGAGAAACCTTGGTATCACGGAGCGTGGTCGTCTGCAATGGGAAACCACAAAGGGGCATCCATCTCCCACAGCCTTGTCCGATCATTTTTCTCGGGGCTCAGTGCCAAGCATCGGCATCGGACGCCTCCAACTCGTAAATGCCATTGGTCCAGTGATCGCCCAGCAAACCGCCGGCCCCTCTGATCTCCAAACCGGCAGGGCGAGCCTCAGCCCAGCGTGGGTCCTGTGCGCAGGCGAAAGAAAACCCAGGAACACAACAGAGAAAAGGAAATTAGAGCCTTGGTTGGAAATTGAACGCCAAAACGGATACCCTCACACAAAAGGCCGTGAGAAACAGCCTTTGATCTGCTTGAGCTGCACTTCACCTCACTCGAACCAGGGCGGTCCTGTGGAATCAACTGCCGTTTTAACAAACCATGCCGCTTGCTAAAAGTGCAGCCTAAAAAGGCTGCACAATGCTGCAACCGGGGGGCTAAGCTACTCAGGGAAAACCGAGGCTTTCTGGCGTTCTTCTCCAAGCTCTTGTCCTCGTTTGCTCGCTCCTCTTTGCATCGTCTCCATGCATCTTGCAATGATAAAACAAAAAGTGTGCTGTCAGGGAAAACAGCTGACTGACGGGCCAAAAGCGAGACGTCGAGAAAGGAGCAAGCGGAAAAGAGAAAAGCGGAGTAATGTTGATATCAATCAACTTCTGTTGTTAATAGGGGGTGTCCCTGGGTTTACTGGAGAATCAGATCACATTTGAAGCGGCCCCTATTAATAAAGCACCAAAGTGGGGGCCGGAAAAAGCGGCAGCCCACCTAAAGGAAGGAAAGGAATGCGGAGAGTGGCACGTGGGAGAGTCCAGGTTGATCCCATTCCTTCCAACTCCCAACCATGGTTCTTCTGGTAAAGCGGTTTTCCCTGAGCAGGTGGTTCTGGAAAGAATGAGCCGTGGATCCAGCATGAGCAAGGTAACTACTGGTAGAAAAGTATGAAGACAAACACCGGGGGGTGGGAAGGGGCGGGGGGGATCAAGTCCAACTTGGGGCTCAGCTGATCAAATCCTTCCTCGGGCGTGGCCTCCAGCCTTCCTGTCAGGGTCAAATGGGGCATCTGGACATTTTATGAAATGTCTCCTCTTCAAATATTTTCCGGAGGAACTCGAGCATGATGGTTGTTGCCTATCACTTGTGTTTTGGCACGTGGTTGGCACATGGTCCGCACGGTCAGCACGGGCTTAGGCTTAAGCTCCCCCGTGTGCAGTTCTCCTTTAAAACGCGCACTCCAGCGGCAATGGGGTGCTAACTTTGAACAATTCAAGCAATACCCTCCCACCAATTCACATGGAACCTGACAGGGGTCCTGGTCCCCTGGTAGACCATTTCCCTTTCAAGGGACCGGGTCCCTGTCAGGTTCCATGTTAATTGGTGGGAGCGTACCCATCCCCGTGGTTGTACCCCACGTCCAAATCCTTGCGCTGCGCGGCGCTCTCAGCTGGCACAGGCCCGAAGCCCCACATCGCGGCAAGGGGTCAAACGGCGATCGGGGTCGACGTTATGGGCTCAGGTGGGTGGTTTGGGTGGTTTGGGCCGGTTTTGGCCGGTGCTGTACCTTCCCATTTTGCTTGAAGAGAGAAACTGGCCACTTCAAATGAAGTCGGGCCTCGTTGCAGACCCACCATGTTTGAGAATGCCAACTATATAAACTTTGCAAACATACGAGTGCTGTTTTGAAATGCCCCCTCCCTTCAAGCTTCAGCTGCCCCAACCAGGCGCCGCAAATGCGTTGTTTCAATACTGTTTCAAGCCCAAGCATCATGTCCGCAACTCTCAAGCGAATGCCCTGAGCCGAATGGCCGAACCTTCGCCGATTTGCACGCCCGTGGCCAAGACTCAGCAAACAGCCTGTTGGTTTCCACAATCCCGGCAAATTAAAGTTTGAACTTGGAAGTAAATGGCCATGGGTCAAAATCCCGTACCCCCAGTGAACATCCCAATCCCCACTAACATAGACTAAAATGGGTCTTGCTGAGCAGGTTGTGAAGCTCGGATGTAAACGTGAAAATGGACACAGTGCAAATTTCCAGACTCACCCCCCTCCTCCGTCCACCAGCTTGGGACCTGATTGGTGAGTCCAGCTTTTCGGCTAGTTCTACGGACCCTCTGGTGGGTAGCGGACGGCCATTCTCAAGGAGGTCAGTCCCCAAGTCAAAAGAAGGACAGGTCCCTCCCATGTCAGTCCAAAGGGGTGGCTCCAAGTCGAGGAGTGGGGAAGCCTCGGAAGCGATCAGATCACTTGCCCGCTGGGCCATTTGAACCGGCAAGTGGCTTGAATGCAACATGGGGATTTGGAAAGAATGGTCGGAACCTTGACGGACGATCCACCAAAATCTGGAAAACCTTCGGTCAAAAGGCTGCCTGGGGATGGGCGGCCTGACCTCCACGCAGCCAGCTTCAATCGAGGAAATATGCTAAAATTCCGCTGAATTTCCGCTGGATGTCGCAAAGGTTGACGATTCATCTCCTTCGAGAGGAATCCCACTGGCAAGGGAAACCTGTGATGATAGAACGAACCTGGCCAGGCCAGTTGCTGGGCCCACTACAGCGACGTCCTCAAAATGAGCCTCGAACTGTGGCTTCAAGAGCTGCAATCCCCACAGCTAAGACTTCATTTTGCTCCAAGCCACTTCAACCCACTCCGGCCAGCCCCCCCCCATACCCGGGCCGGGCGCCCAGGCGTATCCGGCGAGCACTAGCAGCATCAGCAACTCGGCCTTTGGGCCAACCTCCAGCGCAAGTTTGAAGTGTGCCTTTGTCGAGGGGCTCCGGATAAATTTGAAAAATCGATATTCCGCTTTTGGCTTCCGGTTGGGTAAGGAAAACAAACATGGGCTATTTGTCACCCAGTGACAAATCGACATTTCCCAAAAGAATTGGATCCCCAAGCCAAGGACCAAACATCATAGCTTGTTCGCCCGTTTTTCCAGGTGAGCTCGAAATCCACAAAATGGACAATCCCCCGTTTCCAAGAGCAAAACAAGAACTTCAACGGGGGGCCAAGCCGATTTTGCATTCTGTGAAAGGCAAAATTATGCACCAATTGAAATGGATGAAACCCGACCAACACTGGGATAAACCACCTACCAACGGGGATGACATCATCTAGGTGGGAATTCCACAGCTTCCGTAAGTAAAGCTGACCAGAAGGCAGCCCGTGCCTGTGTCACCAGCAAGTTCGGTAGGATGCGCATGCCCACGCTCCTCGGATATCAACTTAGTTTGGCGAACCTGTGAGTCCGTGGGTCCAAAATACGTACTTGTATTTGTTGTTGCCCCTATTATCTGGTAGCAAGACCCATGCAACAACTTGACCGCCAGTTTACAAACCCAAAAAGCAAGCCATAGAAACCAACCAAACAAATAGCATGAAGCAAACAAGCCAAACCAAATGAACAACCCGCCATACACACATCCGCCAGCTGCCGGGGAGCTCTGCGAAAATGGGCGCCAAAAAGGCCGTATCGTAGCCCAGCGCCTGCGCAGGTTTGCGTGACAGTGGAAGGTCTAAAAAATTGGGAGGTTCGGACCTGGTGGAGATGTTTACTGGCAAATTATTAGAGTCAAATTATGTTTGATCAAGCTGAAGCCCGATAAGGTACACTCGGCGCGTAGCCCCAGTTCTTGGACTACGGCTGTTGGACTCCTGCCTCCCCTGCCCTGCTAGCACCCATCAGCTGGTGCCCAGCTCTCAGATCTACGACGCAGTACTAGGCAGTAACAGTACCTTTCGACCGAATTCAAAAACGTGTGCCATCTTGGATTGCAGTGAAGCAAGGTTCAAAATTTGGCCCTCCTCAGCGGCCCCTTGCCTTTGGACTCGGACGACAGCCACACGATTGGTTCACGCAGCCCGCTCGCATTTCACCCACTCAGTTCTTCTTTGCCTGTGCCCCCGGCACCTTGCCCTCGCACTGCACTGCGGCTGTCAAGCCACGCGCCGTTTGCGGCTGCAGCTTTTCCAGCTGCCTACCTTCGATTCTCGACTGTGGCCTGAGGGCGACCGGCTAAACGGCTGGCCACATATTCATGCGTCCAGCCAGCCCCGTGCACGTCGGTTCTTTCACCACGCCAGGCCCTAGAGTAAGGAAGCCTCTAAATCAAACAGCCCCTGGCCGAGCAGGAAGCGCGAAGCGCTTATGTTTAGGGTTGCGCAAGCTGCGCAGTTCTGTTTGTAGCTAGTGTTCAGACCACACGGGGCAAATTGTCTGCCACAATAGTTTCGCAAACATTAGTTTGCAAAAATGTGTGGAACAAACATGACGTATGACAAAAAACTGGAGCAAGTCATATAAAAGGGAGCAGACAGAATGGAGAAAAACAAGGAGAACACATACTTAGCTTGGTGCACAGCTGGAGCACTCCAAAAGAATATATGGTCTGACTCCGTTCCATATTTGGTCCACCCTGAGAAGTACAAATAGACTTGGGATCGGAGACCCCACGCAAACATATGAGCAAACAAATAAGCCCCGGGTGGGGCATAGGGAGGGCCCAGCGACCTGTTCATGGAATCGGTATTTGATAGCCCCCCTCCCCCCTCCCCCCCGCGCTGGGCCCCAAGCATACCTTTTAAGGATTCCTAGGGCTCCAATTTCTCGAGGTACATGACAGTCCCAGCGTGGAAATTGGAGAAAGGCGAACTGTCTCCAAGCTGCCCTGCTGCGGGCCTTTGGTCTAGCAATGAACACGCCCTACCCCAAAGTTTCACTATTTCTCAGGCTTGCACGAAAACTTTCAGTCCCCGAAAGATTTGTTTGGCGCGCGCCCAAAGCAATCACTTTTTCAGGCGGTTAGGCCAATCAGCACCAAACGAAACGGTGCACATCCAAGCAACTACCTCCATTTGGTTCAAACCCCTGAAAAAATGAACATGTTTCCAGTAGTGATGTCTTCCCTCTAAAACCAACAGGGGGAAAAACCAAAAAGATTACCAAGCAACTGGAAGACCAGAAGTCCGATTTTTCTGAGCCCTTTCTGCTCCTTGGCGTGGGAGGTCAGGGGCACCCACAGGAAGTTCCGCAGCATCTCGTCCTCCGGCGGAAGAACCCATAGCATGACCAGCCGCAGTGGGCGTTCTGGTGAAGAGAGTTGCCATGGGAGTCAGCGTAGGTTTTGGGTGTCTTAGGGTAAAGCTTGGTTTCATGCAGGTGAATTAGGTTGAACTAGGTTTATGAATCATCAAGCATGAGTCCATGGTGGGCCTTGGGTTGGTGTGGGGTCAATTTATATAGGGCATTCATGGCAGGAATGCGGTATATGGTTGGTGGGTGTAGGGTGTATTTGGGGTGGGTTGGCGGGTTGATGACGACTACACTATCCACAAAAGTCACCTGAAGCCTCCCTGAACCACACTAAACCAGCCTAAAACCAGCACGAAGCCCACCCGCACAAACGTCCTGAAATCACCCGAAAGAAACCCCAAAGAAGCCTGAGCAAACCCGAGACCTGTCTGTTCAGCGTGGGCTTGGGGTGGCTTTAAGGTGGCTTGAGGGTTGGATTCAGGTTGGTTTTGAGAAAGGCTTGGTGTATGCAAGTGCGGGTGCAGTCTGCAATTCTTCTTTCTTCCTTTCTTCCTTACCCTGCCCTTCCCAAATAATTCATTCCAGTGGGGTGGGGGACATCTTTCAGTGTCATGGGGCCCTGGTTTCGGATTCGAGCCGGCGTGTTTACTGAAGGGGAGGGAGTCACCAGAAGCAAAGCCGTGCTCCAGGAGGCGTTTCTGCGTTAAGACTTTGGAACTGTCTGCAGGACAGGGGCAGGACAGGGGCAGGACAGGAGAAGCAGCCTTGAGAAGGGAGAGCGGGATCGACAGGGAGAGAAGAAAACAACGAGAAAAAAGGCGACGTGTTCAAAGCAAAGAAAGTGAGACAAAATGGGTGGTCTCTGTTTTTGCTTTTGGTTGCTGCCCAAAAGATGGGATGAATGCACCCCGAATTCAATTTGACTGCGAGTCTGGCTCCATGTCCATTAGGATGCAGGACCCCCACCCCACAATTTTCGGTTTGGATGCCCCCAACCCAACCCCCTCCCCCCTTTTAACGTCAAGAGGCGAGCCATGCAAGGGCCACCTGGGCTGAGGGGCCATTCGGCAGGTTGGGTTGTTTCTCCCAAACCGAGGGAGGGGGCGGGGCTGATCACAGGGTGCCCAATTCTGGAAGGCTTTCCAAACCCCAGGCCGAAACCAAATTGGGCCATCGTCCCTCAACCTCCCCGAGAAAAAAAAAAAAAAACGGAAAACAACATATGCGTGTTATGCATGACTGTAAGTATGTGCGGCTACCATCTGCTGAAGACAACGCAAAGCGGCCAGGTGGCTCGCAACAATGGCCGAGTACAACTCGGCCATGGAGCAAGATAGAACAAATGATGACGTGTGCAAAATCAAACGCAAGCAAAATGCGGCTTTCCGTTGGTGTCCCTTTAAACCAACCTAAAAAATGGCCCTCAAAACACACCCTTTTGAGGGACCAAAACAAAAGGGCACGGCGAGCAAATCAGCGCTGGGATAGGCCCAAGAAACCTGCCAGTTAAGTAGAGGGATTCCCTGCGAGTAACAATTAGCCAATGAGTACCCCCAGCATCGGGCCAACGTCTTCCACCTGGAAAACACTGACTTGCCCAAGACGGCAAAGTGAGAAAATCAGGTGGCTCCTCGAAGCGAGCGGAATCCATTCAAACAACTGAATCAAACAAGCAATAACTGCCAGCCATTCTGCCCAACAAGCCAAGAAACGGTTTCAGCTAGCCTCCCTCAGAAAAAGCAACATGTAACCAGAGGGTTACCCTGCCGAGAAAAAAATCCAAGCCATCAATGGCAACGTGGGCGGGAGAGGAAGCATGGTTGACGCCCGATTGGGACTTTGCAGCCTCTTGAAAAATCAGGAGCACCTTGCAGCAAAACGGCCTGAAAAGCAATCTGGTGCCCCTTTAGCTGGGGTACCACAATCATTCTTTTGGATAGGGTAGGATTCCTTAGCGGATGTGTCCGAACGCTTGCAAGGATTTGGATCCCCTGATTGCCTTGAGAGACAAAGCCCAATCATGTTGACAATCGCAGCCAGTGGGAAGCTGCTCGCCGAATTCCCCCAGGCGCCTAGGGACCCCTGCAACCCGCGCGTGTCGCATGCTGGAGAGGCATGGCACTCGCCGGGGTCACTGCATTCTCACCCAAGAAAACGAGCCAGACTTAGACCCCCCGCAAGAAGTTGTCATGTTGGTTCAAAAGGAAGATCAAACAAATCATTCGGTACCTTTACACCAGGGTGAAGCCAAATGCCACAAATCCGTTGGTGTGGCCAAATGCAAAAGGATGACTATACTAAACTAAAATGGAGGATTTATGCCATTTACTTTCGCCCAAGTGTGTTTAATGGAGCGGCACCAAATGCGATGCCAACCTTTTCCATGGGCAACATTTCCAATTTTGGACAGTGGCTCGGCCTTCGAGCATGGGATGCTCTTTGACTTGTTTGTGAGAGCTTCTCAGAAGTGAACATGGAGAACTACCAGAGACTACCATTATCAAGAAGGTGTAAAAGGTGATTTCGGCACAAACCGGCCTCAAAAGGCAAATGCCACCGAGAAAGCTCGTCAAATCTCGTCAGCTGAGTGGAGGTTCAACCTGCCAGCATCCCAATACCTGTTTTGGACAAACCTCACCGGTGGGTTCCGTAACGCGCCTCTTTTTCAGGGTACCTTTTTGTTGGTGCCGCTTGCCCAGAACCTCCCATGTCGATGGTTTAGCCAATTGACATATCCTTTGCCCAAAAATGTGTCCAGCTCGCGCCCAACGAGCCGCAGACGAATTCGTGCGAAAGATGCGAGGGCGCTCGGCGAGCGCGGCTGATCGCATACCGGAGCTGACTGAAAACCTACTCCCCCAGACTAACGTGGAAGCTTCCGGTGCCGGGACCGCCAGGCTTGGCTGCCAACATCTTGCCATCTTGTCCAACAGTTTTTTAGTTGGCTCCGCGAGTTTCACGCGGCATTCTCAAGAAAAATCAACGAATCACGTTGCCGAAGGGAGCCAGAACAAACAAGGTGATCAGATTCGCTGTGGCAGGGGGAGTGAGGCGCCTAATGGAATTCCAGCCGCCACAAGGTACTGACTGGCCCCAACCCAACGACATCACCCCGGATGAAATGCATGATCCGTTTGCCGGCGTGTAGGATCCCCAGACTGAAGCATGGGAAGTTGACTTGGCTCACTTCCCCAAAGGACCTTGGGGCCACAGCTGGGAATGGGTTCCAACAAATGGGTTCCTTTTGGACGCTACGCACATGACTTGGGGTTCGCAACGGGTCAAAAAATCCGATACACCAAGAGCAAGTGCCGACCTCAAAGTGGTTTGGAGTGCCCCCCCCCCCCAGCCCTGTCGGGGAACTCCGGTCGCCCGATTCCACTCGTCAGTTGTCCATTAAAAAAAAAGAACACGAACTGCCCGCCTTCCAATCATGGAAGCTGACGGGGATAGGCGGACCAAACGCGCTTCTCTGGCTTCCCTCGGCAAAACCCACCAAGGCTGAAACCAATTGACGACACGTGCCCTCGAACAGTCCAGCGTGCACCCCGAACATGCTGCAACGAAAAGCATCTGCATTCCGTCGGCCAAAGATGCAACGCGCAAACCGTCGGCCTTGGCCGCACCTCAGCAAACTTGCCGCTCACTTTCCGCCATTCCACGCCGGTGCCCACAGCACGTCTGTGCTTCGAGGGGTCGGGTCCGGTTGGGGCGCTAGCCATGGTTCAGATAACTCAGTAAGCCAAGAGGGGCTCGAATCCGGGAGCTGCCACCAAACCCCGGGCCCCGGTGTCATCTTCCAAAAACCTTTGCCAGAACCCTCTTTGAGGTTAACCTCTTTCTTGGGCCTGCCCTTTCCGCTCGCCGCGGAATCCCTGCGACCCTCAGGCCGCAGACCGCGGATTCCGACGCCCGCGCTCAGAGGAAGCTGCCTGCACCCGCCTGGCGAGCTTTGCCACAGAACTCAGAACATACCCAAGCCACCCAAGAAAGCCACACGGTGGCAGAAGGACCCATACCCTCCCATACCAGAGGGCCCAAGTACCCTCCAAGGAGGTACAAAAAGACCCCTTTTTACCCCCCCAGAAGCCATCCTCAGGAGGTGCTTGTACTTGGGATACATTGAAAGTGCACCTTCGCCCCTCGTCTCCGGAGACCTTCCGTCTGTCTTCGACCACCCTTTGGGCCCTAGGCCCCGGCCATGGCGTCAAAACCCTCGGCGCCAACGAGCCTCGGCTCTCGGACTGGAAGGTGGGTCTGTCGATATTCATCAACCCCAGTTTACGAGGCTTTGGCCAGATATCGTTTCTCTCCTTTTTGTTCAGCACTACCTGAGACCGTGCTAGAGGCTTCCATTTGCCCCTTTTACCCTCCAACGTTGACCCGATATTCATCAGCCCCAGTTTATGGATAGGGAATCAGACCGCTTTTGCAGGGGCCCCCCACCCCCTAAACTGAGGTAGGTCCTCCAGAGAGGTTAGAACAGTCTATTTTAGGGGACCCTCCCCCCAAAAAGTGTAAAACGGCACTTCTGGGGGACCTAGTTTACCCCTTTCTGGAAGGGAAACCAAAAGAACACCCACTCATTTTTCGGACGTTTAGGGGGCACCCCGGTACCCCTTAACTTTGAGACAGGCCTATGTGGGTACGGCCACTCGCCAAACAATTTAGTGGTCTGCCGTTGACGAATCCGACCGGCGGAGTTGACTGGCCGCCGGAATAACTTGTCTTAAAGGGCCTTGCCTAAAAGAGCCACAATAAAGAAACACAACCAACAGAAAGCTTCTTGTTTCTTCTTTGGGCCTATGAGGTTTGCAAAAGGGAAACGGAGGTAAAGGCAATCCAGCTCCCCTTTTGTCAACCGCGCATGGAACTTTGGATGGCCATTTGGACCCTGGTGAAGGGGATGTCACGCACGCCCTGCAGAGTTAAACGATTGCAATGGGGGCGCGGGGTTCCGTGAAATCACAGAATCATGCTTAATCATACGAGGCATTTGTGTGTTTGGGTGCTTCTCAACCACCTCAATACGCCCCGAAGATACTTGGCCCCGTGCGCGTCCTCCAAACCACCTCCGCGCGCAAAGCGTCCCACGCGTCTCTCTGTGAGTTGGTTTTAAAAAGCAACCCAGACCCCCAGTGGCCAATGGAGAAGTACAGGCGCCCTCGATGTTTGGAGATGATTGGGCAGTTGGAATGGTCACGACACTCAGGCCGAAATGGGTGGCGTTTGGGGACAACCTTCGGCCCCATTTCGGGGGGTCGTATCCACCAGCGTACGTCCACTTTGCATCATCCCAAGATGATGGTGCTCGAAGAAAATGTCCTTGAGACCAACGTGGTTCTGTCCATGACTTTCGTTCTTTTCCCCACCAGACTAGAGCATACGGGAGTTTCAACTTGCCCACTCACAGAAGTAGGATTCCCCCAAATCAACAAATGCAACGCATGTCAGAAATCGTCAACATGCCGAACGGGAGCCGCACCTCAGCATCCAAAATGAAGAGCGTCCGGCCGGCCAAAGCGGCATCTTTTGGTGGATTTGCAGTCCTTCCCTCAAGAAATCCGCCGACGCCAGTCGAGCGTGTAGCTGGCAGTCCGCAACTTGGTCTTCCTTCGGAATCTCTTATCAAAGCCGAAGGCTTTTGGGACTGCCAGCTGTGCTAGGTGTCCAAAACCCTGTATTTTTCCAGTGTTGTTGGGTGTTTCGTGCTAAAAATCTGCGGTTCGCCTGGGTCTCCAGGGGGGGAGTCCCCCGGACGCGCAGGATCTGCATCCCCAGCATCATCAGGATTATCTTGTTGCCATGAATTTGTCTCTCTTTGTGCAGATACTAGTTGTGTTGTGCTGTTTCAAGCGATGTTGGAATTGGCCTGTTAGGGGTTTGGGTGGGGCCAAGTGCAGTGGTACTTTGAGGAACTGTTCAAAATGAGTGTTTCTTGCAATTCCCACCTGCGCGGAGCAGTTACTGCGAAACATCCCCTGCATGTTCGTGCTTTTGGAAGTCTATTTTGGGGGTATTTGAGGGGGGTTGCTAGTCTCGTTTTTTGATGGTTGCTTTTGGGAAATATCAAAAAGCTCTGGTTTTTTTGCACTTTTTTGTGGCTGGCCGGCTGCATTCCCAGCATTCCCCACATCTCTGGTATTTTCTGTGTTTGGTCAATGTTGCGTGTCTGAAAGTCTTAAAATCTTGAGCGCGAAGACTGGGTCTGTTCCTGTAAGTTGTGTGGTTGCACCCCTTGCATTTCCAGCATCCTCAGCATCTGGGCATGAAAAACAGGAAACTGCCAAGAAAGCCTCGTTCTACTTACAAAAAAATGGCTATACCCTTTCGGGAGGTGGCTTAAAGAGTAGGCCCTAGTAATCTTCTCCTGTCACATGTTCAGCCCTGCGACCGAAGTCAGAGCGGCGTTGTTCGCATTCTCGTTAAGAGCCCCATGTCACCGAGGCCGAAAAAAAAAAACCATCTTTTCTTACCCAAATTCGAGGCACCCTCTCCTTCCACATGTTAAGAGGTCCATGTGACCTAGGCCAAAAAAAACGTCCTTTCCCTTACCCCACATTCAAGGCACTTCAGAGGGGCGTGGCTTGTTCTCCTTCCATGCGTTAAGACTCCCGCATACCCCAAATTCAAAGTACTTCGCAGCCGACGTCAGAGGAGCGTTGCTTGTTCTCCTTCCAAACGTTAAAAGACCCATGTGACCTAGGCAAAAAGGCGTCTTTTTCCTGACCCCAAACTAGAGGTACCCTGCAGCAGCGCTGATCTGGCAATCGTCCCTTGAGCCAGTGCTGACTCGATCAGCCCGAGTTTGTTAATAGGGGACTGTCCACTGGCGTCGGCGGATCGCGTAGCGATTTCAATAGGTGACCCATGCCCGAAGACAAAGAATCGACCGGCATCCTAACTTCTCGAGATACAATATTGTCTGCCTTTGGGTATGTGTCATAGACATTTTCAGAAATGGATCTTATGCTTGTGTACCACTAAGGTAGGCTTGAAAGGTAGTCATTTATATGTGTACACAACCTGCACCTGGACATTCAAACGTCAAGGAATTCCTGGTAATTCTCGGCATTGACCCTGTTTTGGGCGCAAACGCCCGCAAACTACCGCAAAACGCCCGCAACAAAAAGCGTGAAAATACACAAACCGCGTTAAAACGCCTTGAGTACCAGAACGGCCAGGAATTCCTCGACATTTGAATGTCCAGGCATACGTCTAAAACCCATGTTGAACCGTTGAACCTGTGTTTTCTCGGTTCCTTTGTTCCTGCATCCCCTCCACCCACTTCCCAAGGCCTGACTCCTGCAGGCTTGCTATGCGGCCGATGATGTGCAAGTAAGCCTCGGTTCAGCAGGAGCGAGCCAAGCCGAAGCGAGGAGGAGACGTTGTTGAAAGCCGGCGCTCCCATGCCAAGCACCATGTGCCCGAGAGGTCTAAGGGGTGGACTCAAGTTAAAATCCTACAGCTGTCATTTGCTAAGTTTCCTGTCAAATGCAAGATAGCCGTTTGCACGTGCAAAACCAAGCGACCGCCACATAAAACCAGGCCCCCCGGCGGCGACACATCCGACAGCATTGCCGCTGATGATGATCTCAGCGAGAGATCGAGCGGTCTCTTCCCATCGAGCCCAGGGCGACGGTGTTTATCAACTGATGATCTCCCATACCTTGAGAAGAGCGGGTCCGCGACATTTGACCGTTGGGGAGGAGGTCCCGTTCTTGCGAAAGGAGCCTCAGGATTCGAAAGGTGCAAAGGCCTACATAATTCATTGGCATTCTTCAGCAACTTACCTATTGTAAACATGATATGGAAGTGTACACAAGTCCTTTTCCAAGACAGGTATCCTCTGACATGGTTGGATTACGCAGAACATATCGAGCCTTTTGCACGTAAAGAGCCTTCCTCATAGCTCGGCAGAGCCTTTGTACTGTGCGCAGAGCAGATCTAATGAGATCTGGGCCCACCAAGTTGACCCGTGATGTTTGGCTTGCAATGTGCACCAATTTGTGATTTATGATTTGACAGGGGCCAAAAGTGAAAACTCATCTTACCTCCTGAAAATTAAGATGGATCCCCAAACCTGCAGATCCTGTTGCAGGGAAGTCTTGGGTAGCAGAACACACACGGGGAAGGCATCCCACGGCTTGTGGATGAAATGAACGATGGTTGATCTCAACCTGGATAACTCTTAGAATCGCTTCCACCAAAGGCGCTTCTCCCGCCAGGTGTGGGGGGACAACTTTGGCGCGGCAAGGGGACCGCCTGAAGGTCGCGCAAAATGACAAGGCACGGCACGAAGGCAAAGAGGCATGGGTTGCTATAAAGTTCACAAACCTTAGACCAGAGGTCTCGATTCAATTTCAGAGAAGGAATGCGGCCAAAACCAGTGGGCCGTCCTGTATTCATGGTTTTCGCGCTATGTTTTTTCAGTCGCCCTGAGGGTTCAGCTCCGGCACGTTGCAAATGGAATTGCTTCTTGTTGCAATTCTCTATGACGAGGACGCGTCCAAAAGGCAAGCGACTGGAAACCATGGCAAGAACTGTCAAGCGTCCCCTCAGCCCTTCTTTTTGTTTGGATTGGCTCATGTAAGACAAGGGGGGGATGCAGGGGACAAACGCAATGCAGGGGACAAACACAATGCAGGGGTTGCCGGTTGACCCTCCTTGCACAGGAAACACCGCACCAGACCTGGAGAGGCCATGGGGAACCCAGTTGCCCAGTGACCCTGAACGCACGTTCACCGAAAAGAAAAAGCGGATGCCGGTGGAGTTCAGGACACCATGGGAAAGAAGGGCACCCCAAACTGGGCTTTTCAAGCATTTTGCATAGCTTTTCAGAACGACACGGAGTGATCGGCAAACAAACCATAGGCAAGGTCAAACTTACTCCCCCGGGTGAAGTGATCCCTTCGTTCCTCCCAAATGAACGGACAAATCAGGGAGTCTAGGTTGTCTTGGCCATCCGCAGGACACAAATAATATTTTTCTACTTTCAGGCTCTGTTTCAGACTCAGTCATTTTGGAGGAGACCCCAGTAGTGTTGCACCAACATCGGGAAATTGCGTCATTTTGACCAAACCTCACTCCATTTGCTTACCCCGGAAAACATGAAAATATGTCCAGTCGTGATAGAGTTCCTTTAAAACCAGAAAGGGCAAACAGAAGAAATACTCGTTTTTCAGCAAGTGGAAGTTGGATTTGGCTCAGAAAGGGGAAATCAAGGACAATTCTTAGACAACTGGAAGTCGATCTCTTCTGAGCCAAATCCAGAAAGTGTGTGCTGCACGGCATATGCACGGCTCTGGGCTTTCGGCCGCCTTCTCACCAAAGCTCCCCTCCATGTCTCGCATGTCCAGGTGCACGCCGGTGGCATCTGTCCGAACTCCCAACAGAACCCCAGGCGTGCGGCATGCGCGTGTCTTTCTACCATGTCCTCACGGGACCCCTGGTACTTTTCGATCTCCTTGGTTGACGTTGGACGGGGAGCAAACATTTTTTTTAGCTGTTAAGTGGGGATTTCCCACTAAACCACAAGAAGCAAAAATGCAAAATGGTGTCTTAACAACAACCATGTCACTCCCTCATAAAACAAGTTGGATACCCCAGTTCCGCAACAACTAGCTTGTTGCTCGTTCACGTTCTCTTTGAACCCCCCTTGCAACCAGAAATGCCGTAAGGGCCCATATGTCTCAAAATGAGATGGACTCGGCAACCAAGAAGAAACCAAACACACAACAAAAGGAGACATGATTTCTGAAATAGGGAGGCCCCCGCCCCCTCCTATTCATGGCTCTGGGTGAAGCATTATTACTCACCGATCGAACATTCGGGATCCCGATTCCCGATGCAAGGGTTTCTTCATAGGTCAGGTCGCAAAAACGGGGCATCCGCGTGACTACTTGATCACTTTCCCTTGCAGCTGGGAAATGCATGCAAAGCTAGTTTTCCAAAAGGCCGACAACTGCAGTGGTTCCGTAAATCCTTGCTGAACGCGCTTCATGTCAAAATTCCAAACTCTAAAGATCTTAGCTTGTGACTGGGTCTCCGCTTCCTGCCCCAGGCTGGAGAATCTCTGGGTACCAAAATTGAAATGGCATCAAGAACGGGCCACTCGGCAACTGGGATTCTGCTAGGTAGCCAGGGGAAACCATCATTCAACATTCGAGGTGAATGACCAACTGGTTCTCGGCAAACGCGGGTGATGGAAACACTAGGCAATGCTGTTGCCAAAGCAGCGAATCCCAAGCATGGCCACGGCACCTGGGCAAAAAAGAAAATGCAAAGCAACCCGGGCTTGGCGCGCCCAAAAAAACATTTCGCCGCTCCAATGGGGCCGCCCAAACCCAAAACCCAACACCCAAAACCCCCACGGCCGTCGGGCCCGGCGGGCCCGGGCCGCCCCTCGGCCTGAGATCTCCTTCAGTGCAGCTCCTCCCTTGCCGATGAGGCTGCCCACCTCCGCCGCGCCGCGCGGCCGCGCTTTGTGCCATGAGCTTCGAGGACAGCAAGGCGGGGGGGGGGGGAGGAGGGGAGGAGTTGGGGATGAGGCCGGACATGGGCTGACAACTGAAAAAAAACGGTTGGTGGTCTAAACTCGCAATTTGGCCAACACTGGACAGAGAGAGTCTACATGGCAACCGCTTTCAGCTCAACACGCTCCCACCCTGAACCCACCTTTATGAGGGCCCCACTGCCAGTGCCCAACCCCGGGGGAAATCAACCACGTACCCCTGGAGCAAGGAGTAAGTGTACCAACCAGAGTGCAACTATCTATGTACAACAGGGGTACATCTGTGAATGAGTACATGTACATTAATACGTATACATGTATATATATATATATGTGTGTGTGTGTCTGTATGTGTCTGATCTAACTCATGCAATGCAGATGTGTATGCATATGTGTACATATATATATATACATAAATACACATATGTGGGTGTGTGCATATGTAGGGATGTGTGCCCGTGTAAATGCACATATCATGCGTATACTTCTGGGTATAGTGTATATATGTATGTATGTATTTATATATATATATATACATGCATGCTTTGGAATTTAAGCCTTGCACAACCTGTCACAAGGCATGGGCCGCGACAGGAACAAGTTCTGCGAAAGCCCGTCCCGTTCCCCCGGCCTCTGAGAGGCATACCAAAAGGACATCACAAATAAACCATCTTTCCGAAGTTGGGAATCCCGCTCGTTCATGTTTATGGGTTCTGGGTAACCTATACCAATTCACCAAAGGACTGATCGCTTGAAGGGACCCAACAACCGGTCGCAGGCCGGAACCCTCAGCCTCACGTTGAAGGTGTCAATGTTTGTTCGCCCACTTCGAAGCACTTGCAGGTGGGCACGGAACACCCAAATTGGGCCCGCGAATTGAATATGCAGAGGGAGCCCCCCCGTGTCCCGGGTCAAACAGGCTCACTCAACGCTTGCAGAGTGAGTGATGGTATCGTCTACTCCAAGGCATGCCTCTTGAAAGAAAGGGGACTATGCACTGCTTTGCGAATTGGGCATGTGACTGTGTCAAAGTAGGGATGGACCTCCAAAGCTTTTCCAGTAGGTTTCCACTTAACCCAACAAGAGCACAGAGCCTCTCAAAAACATATCACCTACCACGTTCTTCTCACAAGACGCCCAAATTGAGGGACCCCCCAACCACTTGGGCCCCGACCACGTGTGCCGGACAGGAGCACTGAAGAACCTGGGACTGGTCCTGAGCTGCTGGGCGGGGGCTGTCATGGATTGAAGTCGGGCACTTGTTTCAGGTGCGCTTTCGAAATTCAATCACCTGCAAGGGTCCCTAATGATAAAATCCCAGTTGCCCAGTGAGGGGTTCACCATTTTAGTAAACCCAAACAAAGAAGGGAAAAAGGGAGACATGGTGAAAACGGTTGCTCCTGACCTGAGAAATAAGAGAAAGACATGAAGGATGATGATGCCACAATGAAAGCCTGTTAAGCCACACGACTGCCTTTGCAGCACTTGGGTTGTTTGGGCGTAGGAAGAAGGCAGTCCTTGGGGTGGGGGGGAAGAGTCCACCCATTCCATCCACATGTTGTACAAGAATTGCGAAACCTGCAATGGATCAAGTCAAGGACCTGCGTAGCTTTAATGCTAGGTCTTAGGTGGGCTCGCTATACAAGAAGCAAACCAAAAAAAAAGCATATTGAAAGTGAATGGGTCTAGTGATCATGTCTTCTCTCTAAGCCATCTTGCCTGCCGAGGCTATCAACTCCCAGGCACTATGGATTAAGCACCAATACTAACATTGCATTCCTTTCATTTTTCACGCTCAAGCTTCGATATTTCCCTTCAAGCCACGAGTATTCTTAGCTTACCTACGTTCATGTGAGCTATTCTTGCACCACAGTTTTCTTGCTCGCCTGCAAATGAACATGGATCCCAAACATGGATCATCATAGATCACTTGTAGCGGAAGTTATTGTTGGAGGCCCCGCCTTTTTGGGCCGTGTTGATTTCCATGCTAATTTGGAATAGGGGGTGGGGGCCCCTCCAAAGATTCCCCACTATCCATAAACGGAGGCTGATTAATATCGGGTCAACGTTGGATTTTAAAAGGAGCTCATCTGTGATGGCCCTTAACTTGGTCATCTCTTATGTGTGCACCGCTTCTCTCCAACATCGGCCCAACACCCTTTCTTTGGGAAACTTTGGCAGGTTCCAAGTCGATTCTGTGGGGGTTTTATGCGTTGTCCTTTAAGCTGGGCAGAACCTATTAATGGGAAACAACCAAAGGCCCACAACTCAGCATTTGTTCGTAGAACTTCTCAGAGGGGGAGTACAAGGGTTCTGAACAGCATTTTAGTGGGTAGGAGGCCCTAATGTTTAGCCCTCTCCAAATCTGGGCTGCGATTTGCCTTTCCCCTTTGAGAGGAACCGACCACACAAGAGTACAAACACTACATGGGAAGCCGCCTTGGACAGGGCTCCCCATGTTTTCCCTTAAGGGGGAAATCCAAAGTTAACCGCGCTGTCATTTGTTTGCCTCAGCGCATCGGATGGATGTTCAGGCCAGGAGCGCACTAGTGCGGAAACCTTTTTACTGTCTTTTGCGTGCCCAAGATGTCCCGGTTTTGACCAGCCACACATTTCCCAAGGAGGGGTGGTCCATGTGGCAGGGCGTAGCTTAGGGCTTCCCTTGGCTGGGAATCACGTCCTAAGCACTTGCAAGACCTGGCTGGATGGCTTCCATGCCCTTTGGGTGGATTTTAAGACCCTGAGAATTTGAAGTGAGGCCGTTTTTGGTGCTTGATGTGGACGCAGCGCACACCCAAGAGAGGTTAGAATAAGGGTAGCCTTTTTTTCTTCTGTAGTCTATTTTAGTAGGGGAACCCTCAACCCTCCCCCCAGAAAAGAAACGGTAAAAGGGCATTACTGGGGGACCTAGTTGATTCATAGGGGGTCCACATCAGCTCGTTCATCCGAGCAGATCCAGCTGGGCATGCGGGCTGCCGGGTCGGCGAGCTGGTCCGGCACCACTGAGAGAGCATCTGAACGCGGAAAGGGAAAAACACACGGTCGACATCGCCCGTCTACGGAGTCTGCCGTCCAGAAAAATGGATGGACCCGGCACTTGTTGCTTTTTGGTCCTTGTGCGTTTTTCTCTCGCAGGGAAACCCAAACCAATCTATCAGGCACCTGAAAAGAGTCAATTCCTTTCGACCAGCAACTGTGAAGAAATCAGGTCAGCAAGCCCGGGCCTGTCAGCATGTCGACGCCGGCCTCAGCCGCTCAAAATCCGACGGGTGCTCTTCAAATTTAGGACGCGACACACCCCACATATTCTCCATGAGGAGAGGTAGGCCGCGGTGCAATCTGACATGTTTGTCTGATTGCCACTTAAAACCATCGCACCCAAGCCGCGCAGCCAGAGCTTTCTCGTACATTCCTCTCAAAAAGATCTGCCACACACGCGACTTCTAGGCTATTTTGACACATGCAAACCCTCGCGATACCGCGTTCGTGGGAGCCAAGCAAACACTCAGGCCATACACACAGGGTCCTGTTGCTGGTTGATCAAAATATCATCCACTTGAGGAACTTGTCAAACCACTTCTAAATGTTGACCCAGGATCAACCAACCTGGTGGATTAAACAAGTGGGCTGTTTCTCCAGCGATCCGGATTCCATGAAACGGATTGGACCTATGAAGTCAACCAAGGTTTATGAACCCTGCCCAATGTGCATTTGACTTGGATGACCAAATGATGCACACATGAATGGATTCCAAGAAGGAACCCGTGACTCAACAAGGGCCTTTCCCGAATCCTCCTGATTGACGGCTCCTATGTCTCCAAACTTAGTAGCTGTTGACCCCTCTGCAAAAAGCTTAACTGTTTGTGGGTTTAGTGGAAAACCCCTTGGTTTCCCAAGAAGTTAAAGTCTAAAGCTCCAACCCAACAGCAGTCAAGCAAAACGGGTGGTTTGCTTTCGCCTTTCGCCCCGTGCTTCGATGTCCGAGTGCCCAGCCGGGGGCGAGGTGCGTGGCCGCATCTGGAGAAGAAAGCAAAACCGGGGACCACAACCAAAGTCTGCGACCCCCCCTGAAAGTAGACATAAGAACGCAAGAAAGTCCCAAAAAGACACGTCCAGGACTCCAGGACCGGCGGCTTTGGAGAGCCAAGCGTGACAAACCAATCAAAACCACACCACCGGAACCGAGAACGGTGAAGCATCACTCGAACCGCCTGAAGGGCGAGATTTTCTTTGGATGGTCCGGTTGAAAAAAACTGAAAGGCCCCTTGTGAAAATTAGGGCTGCTTCCCGGCTGAACAGCGGCTCCCTTGCCACAGACAGCGGCCTGGTGAGAGCTGGCCTGACTAAAGTCTCACTTTGGATCTTACTAAGCGAATTGTCTGGAGGTCCAAGGCTCTTTGAATGCCCTTTCTGTGAACCCTAAGGGTGCGATACTTGAAGAGTCGACGAGAACCAAACAGGGGGGAAGAGAACTGAGGTGCGAGAAAATCAAGCAACATATCCAGACAAATGCCAAGGATGCTTGAAAGCCCACCGTGCTCGTGTTAGGACTCCTTTGCAATCAGCCTAGACTTCCGGTGAAGTTCACCCAAAGCGCATCCCAGATATAGGCCAGCCTCTCCAGTTCGCCCCCCGTAACCTGCCTGGGCCCTCGTTTCTTGAGGCCCTTTCAACGAGCTTGACGCAAAACCGGCCCTGGAGCCTTCTGGAACCCGCACCTTGCTTCAGGGTCAGTTCCGCAGTGCGATGCGAGTTCAAGACCGAGATGGGAAGCCTCCCACTCAGAACTCCGAAGGCAAAGAAAAAGGATTGCGGTTGATCAATCTGCCAACGGTACTATAGTTCTGGGTGAGTTATAATATTTCACCAGCCTGAAACAAGGTGGCTCGGGGGCTAGTCCCCACATAAACCACCATTTGCGGTGAGGTCGTGAGGTCGTTCTAATTCACCCAAATATGTCCAAAACCTGAGTCAAGCGTTGGATCCCCAAGTAAAGGGCCCTCAGAACTTTCGCTCGGTCTACCCCCGGATCGGTGCGACCAACGACTTGCGGCCCGTGCCGGGAAGGCGGGGCCATAGCCTGCTGGAGATCTGCTTCGCTTTGCTCAGGGCGGAATTTGTTTTGGCCGGCGAGGCGGCCCGAAGAAAAATACCCCAACGAAAGCCGCGAGCTGTCAGAAACAAGTAGGTAGCCTACAGGTGTGCCTCTTTCTTGGACACGCCCAGGGATTGGGACCCGACAGCCCCCGGAGCCAACCGGAGCCGACTCTCCGGAATTTTCCCTGAAAGCTGCCCCACCCCAAACACGAGTCGATTTCTGGGCCTATGGGCACCTATTAGTACCGCGCGGCAACGCCAACAGATAAGGGCCTAACATGTTTTTTCAACGTTTGAACTAGGGATGACGATTAAGTCCTGGAAAGGAAAGCCAAGACCGGCCACTGAACCCCTGGAAACGGAAAGGGGCCACCCAAAGATTTCCCAACCCACAAAACTGAGCTGCTTTTGTGTCCACGCGCATTGGGCTTGCGATCATTTTGATCATACCACAGTTTTCGCAGCTTGTGTCCGCACATTTGCCCTTGCTTCGCGTGAAGCTGCATAAAATCAAGTAGGAGCCTTTGCTTGTTTGTGTTTTCCGGTTTCCTGGAGTTAATAGGTGCCAACCCCTCATAGCCCCCCCTCCTCTGGAGACCTTTCTGCCGCTTTGACTTTGCAGACGCGCACGTTCCAGCTGTAAAAAACGGTGCGCCAATTTACTGGCAAACCATGCTTTTCTCGGCTATAAACCTCTTCTGCCAACACAAAAAACAGTTGTTGCCTATGAACCCCTTCGGGGGCAACTATTCCGGAGCCATTGCCCGCACACCCTCAAACCTGACATGCGAAACAAGCTGCTACTAAGCGACCTGTCAAAAATGGCTTGATTCCTTTTGGCCTCCCTCTAGACCAAGAGTACCGAGCCTCAAGAAAAGGGCGCGCCAAAGAACAAGACCTAAGACCTTCGAGGAGGTACTTGTCTGGGGCATACGCTGGTATCTTCCGAGCTCCTTTTCTCTTGCGCACGCGCCCCCGATCCGTGATCTTTCACTCCCAGGGCATGAGCTGAGCCAAACGCAATGGCCACACTTCAGGCCATTCAAGCGACGTCCATGATGCTTCAAAAGGAAACCCCTACCCTTTCAAGTGTGCTTGGGTATACGACCATTGCTCTGACAACAAAGGCATTCGTATTCTTTCAGGGCCCCAGGTTCAGTCCTGGCTGTGGAAAAGCACCCTTTTGTTGATACCAAAGTAGGCCATCTTCATGATGGTTTTTTGTTCAAGGGATTTCGCTTGGTATCACAAACATTGGTCCTGGAGACTAAGCCTTCCATTGGCCAAATCAGGTCATGCTCGTGCACATAATTTCGCACCAAATTTAGGGGCGAATGCGGGCGACGGAGGAGAGGGTTGATCTCATTCGTTCGTTCTTCCTCTCCTGTGACCTTAGATGTGGATGGGGTCCGCGCAGCACGGATGCAAAACAACAACAAACATGCGTGGATTGCATGAGCAGGGTTCCGTGAAGAATGCTTTTGAGACAATTGCACAAAGCAAAACCCACCTTTAAAGCAAATTGTGTTTGGATGTATGTTTCAAGGAACGACGTTGTTGTAAGAGTCTCATTTTCGGATAAAGCAAGAGAGCTGCAATCACCCACCTAAGGCTCTGAATCAATTGACGGAAACCTTTCGTTCGGAAGCAACCCATTCCCCCCCATTTCGATGAATCAAAAGTACATGTGCCAATCGTGGATGCTTACCTTTGATCATCAAACCGGCCAGAACAGCGCATGTACAGTCAGCAGCCCTCCATACATTATTCCCATGAATCTCAGCATGGCTCAGTGTGTTGTTCACCAACGACGTCTCCCAATATGTGATTCCTATCAACATGCATGGGGGTTCGTCTCAAATTGAATTGGTGGCATGGACTTACAGGCCGAGACAAAAAAATGTGGCTTCGGAAGGCCTGAAGAAATGGAAGCACGTTCGGTCCGACACACGTGGAATTGTATAGGCTTCAGGAAAGCTTTGCGGGAGCGTGTGTCCCGGAACGCCTCCTTCAAGCTTTGAAAACCGACTGCGTTGGCGCGCTTAAGGCGGCAGCCTCGAAAGCAGCATGGCGGTGAGGCGATGTGTGCGGCTGTGGGGCGCTGTGTGTGTGGCACTGCGTGGCGCGGTGTGTGGGGCCGTGGTTGGGCTGTTTGGGTGGGCTGTTTGGATGGTGTGTGGGTGGGCTATGTGGGTGTGGCTGTGTGTTTGACTACGTGTGTGGCTGTGTGTGTGTGTGGGGTGGCTGTGTACGCGTGGTTGTGTGTGTGCGTGTGGCTGCGTGTGTGGCTGTGTGGGGGGCTGTGTGGCCGTGGCTGTGTGCTGTGTGTCTGTGGCAATGTGTGTGGCTCTATGTGTATGGCTATGTGTGTGTGGCCCGTGTGGTGTGTGTGTGTGTGTGCGGCTGGTCTGTGTGTGTGGGCAGCCCAGGAGCAAAAGCATAAACTAGGCGGCAAAATGGGCGGTTAGGCTTGGCCAAGTTGCTGAGCGGCCACGTAGTGTTTTGAAAGCTGCAGCACCTTGTTATGCAGTTGCTCGATCTCAATCTGCTGGTTGCGGCACCTGGGGCATAATGTCCAAATGGGGTTGAAACACGCACGCGCAATAAAGACAACTGGGGGGCCCAACAGAAACAGTAAATGCACCTGGAATAAAGACAAGCACCTGCCACCCCCGCCCAAAAAGAAAGAAGTCAAAGAAAAAAGTCAAAAAAAAAAGAGAGAAAGAGAGAAAGGACAGGAAGGAGAGGAGAGATAGCCAAACCTGGTCCTTGGATCTTTGGCACCTTGCTCTTGGCACCTGCTTCTTCCCTCAACCACCAAAGGGGGTAGTACTTCAAGCCCCCAAATTGTAAGCCCAAGACTTTATTCCAGGGGCCCCTATAATAAAGTCTTGATGCATGGCCCCCCCTGCAAAATGCAACTTCCTAAATGCAGTTACCTCTTGGCTAACTACCTAGCCAACTTCAATCCCAGGTGATGCTGGTGAAGCTTCATGCTTTCTCCCCAAAAACCAAACTGCAGACCTTGCCCAAACCCAAGTTTTCTTACATGTATCTTGTTTAAAAACTGCCCACCATCAAACCCACAAAGGAGGTAGGTAGTACTTCAAGCCCCCAAATTTTAAGCCCAAGACTTTATTCCAGGGGCCCCTATAATAAAGTCTTGCTGCATGGTCCCCCCTGAAAAATGCAACTTTGTAAATGCAGTTACCTCTTGGCTAACAACCTAGCCAATTTCAAACACAATCCCAGCTGATGCTGATGCTGATGCTGGTGAAGCTTGTTGCTTTCTCACCAAAAACCAAACTGCAGACCTTGCCCAAACCCAAGTTTTCGTACATGTCTATTGTTTAAAAACTGCCCACCATCAAACCGACAAAGGGGGTAGCACTTCAAGCCCCCAAATTTTAAGCCCAAGACTTTATTCCAGGGGCCCCTATAATAAAGTCTTGCTGCGTGCCCCCCCTGAAAGATGCAACTTCCTAAATGCAGTGACCTCTTAGCCCACTCAAGCCCACAAAGGCAAATTCTAAGCCCAAGACTTTATTCCAGGGGCCCTTACGATAAAGTCAAATGCAAACTCAGTTCCAAATCTGAAAAGGAAGCTCCAGCAATACTAAATCAAATGCAAAGTCAGTTCCAAATCTGAAAAGGAAGCTCCAGCAATACTAAATCAAATGGAAACTCAGTTCCAAATCTCAAAAGGAAGCTCCAGCAATACTAAATCAAACGGAAACTCAAGTCTACCAATACTAAATCAAATGGAAACTCAGCTCCAAATCTCAAAAGGAAGCTCCAGCAATACTAAATCAAATGGAAACTCAAGTCTACCAATACTAAATCTAATGGAAACTCATCTCAAGATACTATTGCACATACCCCCATCGTTGAGGGGGGGGGTCCCGTTTACTAATCCACAT